TATAACGGGAAACAAACGAGGGTTGCCGATGCAAGGACAACGATGTATATTAATGATTTCTGAGTTTCTGAGTCAGTGAAAGTGTGACACTAGCTGGTCCTTATACCCCATATAGACCAAATCTTTGAAAGATTTGATTCCCCGCTCGAAATTGGGAACTGATATGAAACTTGGTAATTTCCACCAAATCTAAGCGTATGTGTGAAAATTCCTACAGCTAGTAATGATTCACAGAAAAAAATATCATGCAATGTCTGAATCTCTTTAAAACTACGATGTTTTTTCGAATATTTAAGTTTATAAAAACTGTAAAAATAACATAATGTGACAGTTTTTGTCGCATCGTCACATAGTCACAGTCAGAAAAACATGTACCGACATGTTCAAGCGACATCATTATTTTGACTACGGAAGCATGATACAGCAATAGCAGATGTTATAATTGAGATAACACTCCTGCGTGTTTTGCGAAGAACTGATTAAGTACTTTTTATATTAATATCATGTAGGTACATGCCTACACATATAACCTAGCTATATTAGGTAATTACGTGAAAAAACAATGATCATATTTTTTTTTCAATTGCATACAAAAGTTATTGATTAATTTCTAATATAACCTTCGTCAGTTCTAAAATCGACCTGGAGCAGGGAAGGGACGGGCAGGTTTTTAGTCAGTAAGAGTCAAGACACTTCCTCTCGCCAGGCCTAATTTTTAGGTTTTTCTTATTCACGCAAAATAATATACAAAATCTCTTACACGTCATAACTTTATAACAAACGAAGACTATAAATTCATTTCCAAAAAAAAAAAAATACTTCAGCTTTTGGAACAAAACAAAAATAATAAAAAAGTAGACTTGTATTTTTTCACTTACCTAATTTCATTGTGTTCTCGCACCTACAATGTAATTATAAGTGCCTACTTGTTTAGCAAGAATTATGATGAATGTTTGCCAAGGGACTCGCAAAAGTGAATTAGACTAAAAGAAACTAAACAATGCCCCGAGAGGTATGGCGGCGGCTCATAAGTAATCGGTACCTTTTGCCGACTTTTCTAAGAGTTCCGTACAGAGATTGAAATGTTTTTGAAGTTGGAAAAGTGCTTTCTGTTACATCAGTTTTCTATTAAAACGTTAATATATTCACAAATGTTAGTTCCAAAGTTACATAATATTGTAATAAATAAATAATGGAGAATTCTAGATTGCCTGGTTAGGAGTGGAAGACGATTCTAGCATTTAAGTAGAAAAATTTAAACCGAAAACTGAGAGAGATTATTCCTCTTTCAAGATTGGTATCACATTAACTAATTTTGAGAAGCTTTATGACCCAGAATAAGACAATTTATTATATCTCATTTACTGGCCATGCCGGCCAGTAAATGAGATATATTAAATTGTCAATTTTCCACTAACTGTTTATGGAAACAAAAAAGGAAAAGTGCTTTTATTCGATATTAGACGTGAAGACCAGGATTATGACGCCATCAGTTTGTAACACAGTAATAAAATAGAAGATAAAGTATGCATAAAATATCACCAACATATTAATATCTGTTTTTTTTCTTAAATAATTTAGCTACTCCTTTGAAACTTCCTATATTGTTTCTACATCTAATTGGAATTCAACTCATATCGCATAATCAGGCCAAAGCACCGGTCCTACATAATTTCACTGAACACAAACATTATTCAGCAAGTTTCTGACGAATGTTATGAATGATAGTGTTATGATATGCAATATGCCGTCGTATATTAAAGCTATTTATAGGTCTTGAAGTATTTCTAATACCCAATACAACGGAAGCAGAGTTAAATCCTAAATAAGTTTATGTGGAGTGGCTATATTGTGTTCATGGAGATAATTTTGAAAGTGCATAATAATATAAGTAATTCATAAACAAATAAATAATAAGTAATAACTATTGAAAAAATATTGTGGTTATAACTTTTGTGAGACACATTAAATTTAATTAACTATGAGTCGCGCAATGCTCGTAAATTGTTTTAAGCTCTAGCTTGGCTTGAAATTGGTCGAGTTCCTCCTTGTTAAACATGATAATTTAGGTAGTTGTTAAACAAATAAATTTATTTGATAATAAATTTTAGTTCTGTCTGAAAGTTTCTTCAAAGTATACAGGTAATATTAATGTTTTCTCAATGTATTATTTTCTAAATACAATAATTAAAAGGCTAATTACATAGCTACTTTTATAATCGGATTTGAAAATAATACAAAGTGGCCAAGTCATCATGACTACGTTCTTTATTCAATCATCAATCATCATGAGCAATGAAATTTTATAATTTAAGTATAGAAAAATACCTGTTCCACCCCAAAAGCCACGGACAACAAAATCATTAACACACATTTTCTGAAACAAGGATCTCTAGTAGAAAATGTGGTTTTAGCAAAAAATATTTAGATAGAGTTGGAGTACTTCGTTCACATCATTCGGGATGATTGATAGGCAGCGCACACGCGAGCAACTGCTTTATATTCTATTTGTCTTAGGAACTTTGCTAACTATACTCAGCTGATGGGAAAAAGGGGGTCTAAGAGCTTAGAAGAGTTTTCCATTTCATGCTACTCAGTGAATATAATGATGGTGGGGGTATTTATGTTGTTAAGCCTGAGAAAGTACGCTAGAAATTAGTCATTAACACGTTAAGCGCCATGGGGGTCACCGGTGACCTCCGTTAGCGGAGGATTTATACCTTCAACAGTTTTCTGTCGGCAGGCAAACGCAAAGTTATATAATTCATCTAAATAAGACACCAATTCTTTTTTTTCTGAACTTTGAAAAAAAAACAATTAATTAAATATACGTTTTTTCTATTGATACTTACTACTTTTTGGTTATGTTTCAAGTGTATTAAATAATTTCGTAGTTGGAAGCTCACTAGATAATAATAACAATTATCTTAAACAAGATCGTTAAAAGTTGGTTAAATAAATGTAGATTATTATCCCAGGCCTTTTTTAGGCATAAAAGGGAAAAAAGAGTTTTCGAACAGTTTTTGAAACCAATTAAAAATAATCAACCTTTCTTTGAAACAGTTTTCGTTTCAAAGAAACGTTAAAGTAACTCTTAAACTATCAGAAAGAATAGCAGAAATTCGAATACCTTTTTTGTGGGGAAAGATTATCAAAAGACGTTCCTAAAAATCTCACAGTTCCTTCACCAGCTCCATGCAATGGCTGAATTCAAATACGACCATCGTGGATCGTGGTTATTAGAAAAACAAATACTAAATAGAATCAAGATCTAGATAGTACTACATAAATCTACATTAAAATTTGTTGTTATAACACTGGAACACATGCCAATCAATTTGAAACATATGATAAGCATAATGCTTAGAATAAGTGTTGATCAAAAGCTGCATGGGTTACCATTTACGACGTCCTGACTGATGCTGCATGATTCACCGTATAGCTGAGGCCAAGAAACAATGTAATTACTACAGGCCTTCAAATTTTAAATACTTATAATATCTTAGACATTAAACAATGGAAATGAATGTTTTAGAAAATCATATTTCTACGAATCAACTTGACAACCATACAGTTTGAAAACAATTAAAAGTTATTTACTTCCAGGAACTAGAATGAGATCTGAAACGGACCGACCGCTAAACCTAAGCACACTTAAATACGCTTATTATAGATCTGCCTTACTGTGTACACAAAACAGCTAATTTCGGAGGCCGCGGTTGAAATTTACGGAAACAGGAGCCTTGCCGGCTTGTTCCTGAGATTGTGTCGGCTACGTCCAACTTTAAGCATTGTGAGACTGCGTATAGCTGGCAAAGCTATCAAAGTTTATAACTGTCTAATACAATGCTATATGCAAACGCAGGGAAACTTTGTGCCGAGATATATTACGTTTGAATCGTGTCTGGAATCATAATGAAGGATCAATGCAAAGGCACAGTTTCGTTGTTGCATTTTTAACGTGAATCAATTAATTTTGACTTTTTGATTTTGAAATACATACATTTCTGCAGTTTTTTCCTACTTAATACTAAGTTTGAATTGGCGTCAAGTGTGCCTTCCCAATATTTTTTTTTTTTAATTTATCCTATAATGCAAATTTTATAAGAATTGACTTAAAATTAACATGAGTTGTTACAAGTGAATAAAAAATTATATAACTATAAATAAATACGGAGACTATGTATAATGGATCTATAATTACTCGTACAGAGAATTATTCTGAATGATTATGCAACTTTTTTCTACATAGGTGACCTATGTGTTTATAATGATTATGCGCTTTTTTGAAACATCAATCAAATGGCTGCGTAACCATTTGGACATGAATTCTTAGCTTTGATTATTGGGTTACTCAAACTATGGAAATATAGTTTATACCTGGGACTTCCGTCCACGTTGCATTAATCTGTCTTTGTGCCGAATTTTATTCTGATTCGTGTACCTAATTCAGTGTGCGATAGTGCTGCATTTCATACATACAAGTCCTCTTAAACTTTCGCATTTTTTTAAATTTTCAGAAGCGACGAACTAAAACTCATAGCTGCCATTTTTTAAAATGTAGGTAAACAACTATTACTATTGGATAGATAGATTAATATCCTAACATGTTTTTTGATATAACAAGTATACTTGCTTTTACCAGCAGTTTTTCCCGCAGTATCAGCGTGATAAATGAAATCTGTGTAATTGCAGATAACAATCTATCTTAATGTTGAATTTCATTCAGATCTATTCATTACTTTCTGCGTGAAATAGTAACAAATATCCATCCATACCAACAAATGTTTGCGTTCATAATATAAGTAGGGTTTCAAGGATAAATGGACTTATTACGTAGGTATTATAAGAACTTAATTAATTTAGGAGACTGAGGCTCGCGGCACGCTACACTAACAATAATAAAAAAATGCAAGTCATGCTCATCAATATAACGTCATCTTATAAGTTTACCGATTCTATAAGCAAGTTGTATAAGTAAATCGTCAAACCAAATGAGTTAACTACTAGATAAATAGTTGAGTATTGAGTTTTTCTTGGTCAGTATTCCAGTGTGACTTGTTTTGGTGTGTCTCGTTGCCATTTTTATAGCGTATAACAAAACCAAATAACTTACAAACGTAAGTTTGTGTCTTTTTTACGTATTGCCATACTTTTTGTATTCTGTCATGTTCTCGCAGTTTAAGTCCGTTTACAAATAAATATAGGCGGACTGTTAATCAATTTAGATCACATAAAGAAAAAATTGATTTAGTGCGGTGGTCATCGCAATCTTGTGTATCGCTAGTAAAAATTAAATTTTGAACTACGAAAATAAATGTTAGTTAAAGATATTCAGAACAAAAAAACATTATTTTCTTCATTATATTTTCTAGTATATTCTTGTTTTTTCTAGATGGGTGTCAAACTGTACGCTTTGGACTTGAGTCCGCCTGTGCGTGCGTGCATGATGGCCTGTGGTATATTCAACGTACCATTCGAGAAGATAATCGTCAACGTAAAGGCTGGTGAAAATCTTACTCCAGAATTCTTAAAAGTAAGAAATTTTAATAACATGTCTTTATAATAAAATTAATGCATGCATTACTGCACTTACTTTTCGAAAAAAATATTATAAAAATATGTATTAAGTAATCAGTGCTTAGAAAAAAAGTTTTTTTTTTGTTTTTTACCCACTGTGACCTGTAATCACTTGTATTAAAATATATTACTTTATTCCTATACCCAATACCATGCATGTACATTAGGTACCCAACTCTTAATAGTCATCATATTTTTAAATTTCGAAATTTATAATTCTTTTTTTTCTTACAGAAAAATCCTCTCCATACAATACCAGTACTAGAAGATGGCGACTTAATTATACATGACAGGTTTGTTGACAATAATACTATTTTTGTAATATTAGATAAAATGGGTGGATTTTTTAATAAACCTCGGCTTGCTCAAGTGAGTAGGTAAGCTTTACAAACAAGATGATGGAATAGGTACAATACTTTACTCCATTGATAGCACATCAGAAATATCAGAGGTATCGCTATCACCTCCCTACAAAAAAACTGTAAGTCTTTATTGGCATAAGGTAATTGATCAAAGTCCTATTTCTTATTTACAGCCATGCAATTCTGACGTACTTAGCTGACACCTACGGAAAAGATGACTCTTGGTATCCAAAAGACGTCAAAAAAAGAACATTAGTTAACCAAAAACTATTCTTCAATGCAGCTGTTCTGTTCCAAAAATTACGAAACATCACCGTAAGTACTTACTTATTATAAAAACAAATGTAAGTCACAGTAAACGTTTGTTAGCTAGCTTATTAAGGGCTACTGAGTTTTTCTTCATACTCATCTTAAGCATCTTGAGAGACAGATTAAAAAATCAACAAATATACATCATAATTATGGATATTTTCCTTAAATTGGTAGTTTTGTGTACCAATACTTAACTGTATCACTTTTTGCTTAACTTGTTTCAAAATTTATCTTGGAATAGTAACTATCGTGAGAATAACTAAATTGCTTAATTGAAAAATAATGACAAACTCACGTGATTAAAATAAGAACGGCTCTAACAGCCGACTGTCATTGGTCGACGTCACCACGATTCGCAAATTGCTCATAAATAAATATCCTGTTCTGACTTGAAACTAGTAAAGTAAGTCGTTATTTTAAAACATTCATTTCAAAATACTTTTTTTTTTGCAGTACAATGTCATATTGAAAGGAAAGAAGACCATAGAACAAGAATTGTTAGATGGTGTTGCAGAAGGCTATGAGTTTACGGAAGCATTCTTGTCTCGCACAAAATACATCGCTGGAGACCGCGTCACAATTGCTGATTTAGCAATTTTGAGCACTGTGTCCACTCTAGAACACATTCTACCAATAAACGCCCAAAAGTAAGTATCTAAACACGGCGGCGTGAAGCAATACTTACGTTGATTTTTGCCACGTGAGTGAGTTTACCGGAGGCCCGATTTCTCACCCTCCCCCCATCCCCAATCCTCAAATCACCTATCCTTAAATGCCTAATAACCTACAGGCCGACAACGCACTAAACTTGTGATAACTTCTTTGGTACTACGATTGTCTATGGGCGGCGCTGATTGCTTACCATCAGGTAATCCGCCTGTTCGTTTTCCGATCTATGACATAAAAAAACACAATCTGATCTTCTTTATCTTTCTTGTATTGATGACGATCGTAATTCGATAAATTTACAATAGCTGGCATGGCTCCATCATCGATTACAATTTTATTATGTACCATTTAGAATGGATTTCTTTTTTCTATTCTTATGGGTTATCCCATAGCTACTATTTAGTCATCTATTGGCGCCATTGGTTTGGACTACGACCTCTCGATCTTTTACCCTGAACCTCCTCTGCCACCATCGAAACACCAAGACTACCTTTCTTACAGCAAAGTGACCAAAGTATCTTAATCTTTTATATATTAGAATAGTATTTTTTTATTTCCAACTGATCAGTGTCGGCCACTATTTCACTTGGTGGTTTTATGATTTACTTTAATAAAGACGAGTTCTATCGCTCTTGAAAGTGACAGTTTTGATTAATAATTAGTGATAATGTCCTGTATGTTTCTCTAACATTAATTGTTTATTTTTTAGATATCCAAAATTGAAAGCCTGGTTGGAAGAATTAAAAGCGACGCCATATTGTAAGAAATATAACGAAGAAGGTGCAAATGCTTTGGGCGCATTTATCAAGGAGAGTGTCTCTTCCTGAATCGTACTAGAAAAATACCTGACTGTTACATTTTGATAAAACAACTTAAATCAACTATGTTTTTTGTGATGAAAACCAATTGTTACATTTAAACACTTAACAATAAAAGATAATAAAAAATACTTTTCGTTTTTATTTATTTTATTTCACTTTTAGGTAAGACAATTCGTACTTCTACTCACTTCGTATTCTACTGACTCAATTCGTATTTCTAGATAAGCCATTTGCCCAGTTACTGCGCTAGCCGTACAGTTATTTATATTAATTCCTATTTAAGTCAAATTTCTAATAAATAAATACAAATGAAACAGCAAGATCTAAAATTAATATTGGGTCACTAACCAGTGCTTTAGTAGTACAAAGAAATTTCAAATTCAATCAAAGTCATCAAAGCGATAACTGCATAGAAACACCGTACTAAGCAATGACTATACGAAATATGTATACCTACAGACATAGATAACATAAGAAAATCTAGAATGACAATGCAAATTTATGTTGTACTTCGTCACGATGACTCTTGTCGACATACTCGTAGCATCATCATCAAATCTATAAATAGATATCTCATCATTACCAAAAATATTGCATCAACATTTAAGGAGAGGCTTAGCGACACACATGCAATTGCACCTGAAATGTACACATTGTAAATTAAGGATAATTTCATAAAACAAAAGTTAGTATAACTTTTGTTTTATGAAATTATCCTGAATATATATATGAAAAACAAAACAGATTTGTAGAAAATAATAAAGGGGACGCATTTCTATAGCAATCGACGTATTCCAACTGACATATTCCCCCTTATTACAAAACAAGGTTTATCTTTAGTCCAGGTTTAAACCATTGAGTCGGGTTTTGAATTTTGAATCTTATTGTCATCGACCTTCAATTCGAAATACGAAAACTGGCTCAATGGTTTAGTCCTAGACTAAAGTAAACCTTGTTTTGTAATAAGGCCGATTATGTTTAGATATTATGACATTGTTTGTCTCTTCTGTCATTTACTATTTTATTGTACACAATAAAATGACTATGTGGTATAATACTTTGGAAAAAATGAAACAAAGCAAAAGCTTAAAATCTATTGATGGTCTACGTTGTACTCAGATGGGAAGAAGTTAGTTATGGTACATTTTTACTAGAAAGTCCTGCATTACACATACATAAAACCTCCTCTTAAACCTTCACATTTATCATATTTGTAGGAATTTGTGATTTACAGAATTTTCAGAAGGGAGTAACTAAGACTGATGGCTATCATTTTTGAGATGTAGGTAGTTCAACAACGATTTTTTGTTTATCATTATGAAGATTAGTATTTGCCAGCGGTTTTGATCGCAGTACCAACGTAAAATATAGTCTGTTATTCCAAATAATAACCTATCTTCTGGTTGAATTACATTCAGATCTATTATATATAGGGTTTCATAGATAAATGGACCTATTATATAGGTATTATTAGTACTATATTAATGAAGGAGGATTAACTAGGGGCCCACGCTATTCTAAAAAAATGCAAGTCATGGCCGTCGATAAGTTTACCATTGTAAGTTTTAGTTATCTTAAAATGAAATGAGATAACCACATACTTAATAATATAAATAGTATGCTGGCGTTGCTCCATCAGTCAGTTATCAAGTGTGAGTTATTGTGGTCAGACGCGTTCCCGGTTTTATAGTCTTTAAAAATAAATAAACAAATGTGAGTTACTTTTTCAATTTTAAAATTATTAAAATTTTTGTTTAAATCACAGAGTAACAACTATTTTTTAAATATAAATGTTTAGGACCTTAATAATGTGTGGATCAAATAAATAATTAGTACATATTTAACATAGTGAGGATCATAAACCTTCAGTAGTGTAGCTGGTCATCGATGTGCCTACCGTGTAGTATTTTCGTCGATTAAGTCTAATTCTGATATTGTAAAAATGTCTATAGAAAATACAAATAACAAATAAGAATTTGATTCAGAAATACGAAAATATTTATTAAAGCTATTCAGTATAAAAAAAAATTAAATGAATAATCAAAAATATTTTTGTTGTTATCCTTCTTCCAAGCGAGTATTGAATTATTAACAAGTTCCATTTATCCAACTATTAATTAGTCACTAATGTTTAAACACGCGATTCTACACAATACATGATAAACAACTTTTCCAAAGAAACTTTTTTTCTATACTCATTATAGTATTTTATTTTTATTACTACAATAAAATTTTAGGCGGGCGGGCGTGCAAAGTTCAAATTTCGAAGGAAAAGACTTTCTTTGTAAATGTTGTTTGTTACGTTTAAAAATATCGGACACTAGTTACCAGTCACCCTTTATAATATGTATACATATGTATTTCTCTAGATGGGTGTCAAACTATACGCTTTGGACTTAAGTCCGCCGGCGCGTGCGTGCATGATGGCCTGTAGCGTATTCAACGTTCCATTCGAGAAGATAATCGTCAACGTAACAGCTGGTGAACAACTTGCTCCAGAATATTTAAAAGTGAGAAATTTAAACAACTAGTTTTAGTACCATTAAATAGTGAAATTAATGGTAGTATAAAGTACCCATTGCTTTTGGTATTCATTCATTCTATAAAAAATATTATTTTTGTTTTTAACGTTACAATAATGTCCTCTCCTGTAATTTGTGTGATTAATTCCTTAAACATATCTATACCACATTCTTGGCAATCATGAATCCTTAAAATTTCAAAAAAAAAAATATTATTTCTTACAGAAAAATCCTCTGCATACAATACCAGTGCTAGAAGATGGCGACTTAATTGTACATGACAGGTTCGTTGATATTGATACTATCTTTGTAATATTAGATAAACAGGGGTGATCTTTTAGCCATTAATACCCCAGCTTGCTCAAGTAACCCAGAGGACACGGTGGAGCAAACGGTGGCGGTGCCCCCTGCTTGGGCTGAGCACCGCCGTATGCCTCCGACTGAGAGCGAGAAGAACTGGAAAGCTGTCTCCTCTTTTTGCTAAGCAGTGATGCTCTCAAATAAGAAGGCAAAACGCGTGAGGGAACTATCCTCTCCAAGCCCCAGCCGCCACAGGCAACACCCAGGCCTACGGGGATCGAGCGATGAACTCCGGCAATCGTAAGCGCGGGTGTGCGGACAATAAGGACTATTGACTTACTATAGGTTCTATTAAGTTAGTTTTTGAAATCTGATCCAACAGACAAACTGTGTGTACAGTTTTGTTGGACATTTTATACTTTTTATAATGTAAAATGTACCTTTTAAGCAATAATAAATAAAAATAAAAAATAAATAAAGACCCGAGCGAACGGTGTGTTCCGCACGCGCCTGATAGCGCCAATAGACCACCACAGACGGGGGCCTTTAGGGCCGATGTTCAACAGAGGTTGGGAAGGAAGCGCGTCGCTTTGGCCTAGAGCAGGAGAGGAACGGGGCAGGTGGGGATTTAGTCAGTCTGACTCTCTCTCTCGCCTCACCCTGTGCGGGAGAAGTCATTTGATAATTTTCCCTGCACCAAAAAAACTTACTCACGTTATAGTTACGCTTTGTTACAAACAAGATCATGGAACAGGTACGGTACCTATTCTCATTGATAACGCGCCAGAAATATCAGAGAGGTATCGCTATCGTATTACCTACCTATGCACAATTTTTTATATATTTTTCAGCACTCTAAAAGTCTTCATTTGGCATTAGGTAGCTCATATTAAGTATTTTTATTTTTCAGCCATGCAATTCTAGGGTATTTAGCTGACACCTACGGAAAAGATGACTCTTGGTATCCAAAAGACGTCAAAAAAAGAACATTAGTTAATCAAAAACTATTCTTCAATGCAGCTGTCGTGTTCCAAAAATTACGGAACATCACTGTAAGTACTTATCATAAAAACAAAATATATATGTACATAGGTCACAGCAAAAGTTTGTACTGTTCCTTTCCACTCACGGGACCACAGGGTCCCGGACTTTTGGAAGGCGTACGAGGGGCCGAAGCCAACTCGCAGAGGCCCTTTGAACAACTTTAATATAAGTGAAATGGGACATCAGCCGGCAATTATCCCTGTATGCCCTATGAAAGTGCACCCAAGGACAATCCCCGGTTGATGGAGGACTATTGCGAAATGTGGTAAAAAATTATAAGGTTATGGGTATGGGTTGCTATATGATAACTATGGAAATACTATGGCCCCTGCCCCTGACCAATATTGATACATACGGATAAACAGGCAGGGGGTGACTGGCAAACTCAATTAATGGGCCCCCAGAAACGGCCGCTAGCGCGTAGCGGGGGCATGCAAGAGGGCAACATATGTTGAGCTGCTTGGGGAAGGAGAGGCATTCCAAGGCTATCAGAGCAATCCCGGAAGTACGGTCAAGACCCCTACCAGCATTTTACTGAGATACATCCTTCCCCCAAGTCTCCTTCAACTTCTACTCTTGCGAATCTCCACTCAAGCCAGCCAATTAAGGCAAGAATGAAAAAGATTAATCTACTGGAGATTTTTCTAGACATTCGTAGACTGTTGTACCAATCGCAACGTTTGTTTCAAAATCCTTTATTTTTTGCAGTTCAATGTCTTATTGAAAGGAAAAAAGACTATAGAACAAGAATTATTGGATGATGTTGCAGAAGGCTATGCGTTTATTGAAGCATTCTTGTCTCGCACAAAGTACATCGCTGGTGACCATGTCACAATCGCTGATTTATCAATTCTGAGTACTGTATCTACTCAAGAGCAAATCCTACCAATAGACGACCAAAAGTAAGTAAAAACTATCTGACCTTCATCTTTCTCGTACTGATTACAATCGAAATTAAATAAATGGACAATATCTAGCACGGCTCCATCGGTAACAATTCTGCACCATGGAATTTTCTTTTTTACCTATGAGATCTTTGTCATCTGAATATCTTGCAGTTCATTTAATTATCTGTTCGGATTGTATATTTGGTCTACGACCTCATGACCCTCGACCTCGACATTTCTCCTCACAGTAAAACACGAAAACAGTACACCAAGACTAACTTAAGTTATAGCAAAGTAACCAAAGTATCTTATAGTTCTCTTTTAGATCTTTACCACAGTTTTCTTTATTTCCTATTGACAAGCGTTGGCCACTGCGGAATGTAGACAGATTGTTTTATATTCAATACTAATGTCGTGTTTATTATACCTATTACTTTAATTCTTTCATTTTTAGATACCCAAAATTGAAATCCTGGTTGGAAGAATTAAAAGCAACGCCATATTGTAAGAAATATAACGAAGAAGGCGCCAATGCTTGGGGTGCATTTATAAGAAACTGTATGGCTTCTTAAATTTTACTAGTAAAGTACCTATTAAATTTGAATTAAACTAGGTAAACTAAGAATTTGTTTGAATAAAAGTGATGTAAATGGATTATAATATTTTACGTATAAATAAAAATAAATAAAAAAAATCTTTTTGTTTATTTTATTTTATTATTTTTCTAGGTAAGACAATTCCTATTTCTCTTATAAATATGTATGTGGATTTTATCCAACACTAGCTACTTTCGAGCGGTTTCACCCACTGCTTGGCTCCATTGAATCCTAGCGTGATGTTTTATAGCCTAACCTAGCCTAGTGCTATAGCAGATATATTAGTATAGATTTATTATGCGTAGACACACAGTGCAAATAAAATAAAAAAGGAAAAGAAAATATTTAGAAATGAATCATACAAGCTAAGGTAAAGGTAACTGCAAGGAGACAACGGGTTAATCGAATGACTATGCTAAACGTATATGAAATATATGTACTTATAACAAAAGAAAATCTTCAATGACCAGGCAAAATAAGATGTACTTCGTCACGATGACTCTCGTTGATATAGTTTCATTATTAAATCTTCATTTATAATATCAATATAAAGAATATCGCATTAACATCACAGGAGAGGCCTAGTGACACACACGCAATTGCACCTGAAATGTACACATACATTATAAAATTAAGGACTATTTCATATAACAAAAATAGTACCAATAAAACAATCTTTTATAATAATAAAGGGCTGGTTTTCTGTAGAGCAGTGGCGTCACTCCGGTCGAGCTGATCCATTCGTGCCGAAGCATAGCACTCCCACGCTTAAATTTTGTTTATCACTACATAGTACAAAAGGGGAGGTATTTCTCTGGCAATAGAGGTTTTACGGCTGATGATCTCATAGAAAATATTGAAGATGATAATCTATTAAATGTTTGCCTGTTTGGAAACGCTTATCATGGAATCCGGAAAATAGTAAATTAGAATTAGATTTGAATGATATAATTTGAATAATATAATTTGAATTTCAATAAATAAAGAAACATAAATATGAGATTCTTCTAAGTCTTCATCTGGCAAGCCTGCGTTAGCTAGTTAAAATCTTTATTGTACAATTAATTATTAATATTAATAAAGTCATAGTCATCGAATAAACGAACATTTCCTATAAATATTCTCAAATAATCGTTTACCTACTGCATATTCTCTACTAAATCTTCCTCGAATAATAGCCGAACTTGGATAAATGTCCACCCATATCAAGTTGTTAGTAAAATAAACAATATAAACTATCGTGTATGGACTGTGTTCTACAAAGGACCGACGCCATAAACTGAGACAGACACGATCTCAAGATGTGGATACAATGAGTACTACAATGGATATGTGGGCAAGTTGTTTGTTGAATGGCAACCGGAGTAACTCCGGTGCCTTGTTGCACGTAACTTTCCTTGTAGTTACATTACAAACTAAAGCCTAGGTTTACCTTAGATTCCTACACCTCAATGGAAATTCATTCTATGTATTTAGGTTCCTGATGCCAAACCGATTTGTTAGCATTATTCTTTGTTTTTTTATGTGGCAAACGAGCAAACTGATTACCTGACGGTAAGTAATCAGCGCCGCCCAGAGGAGTTTGCGGCCTTTTGGGGATTAGCTAGATTAGATACGTTTTAGAGATATAGGAATGGGGATTGTTGGGTCGAGAAGAAGGATTAAGTCTCCAGTTACCTCACTCACACTGTGAAAAACAACACTGTTGTTGTTTCACGCCAGTTTTCTGCGAGGCCGTAAAATCACTCCTGTCGGGTTGACCCATTAGTGCCGAAGCGTGGTTCTCCCACACCTGTACAATATATTTGGCTTACATTCATCAAGTGGCGTTGATTTCACGTAACGTAAAAACAAGTTTATACTTGTTCGAATTAGCCTAAGTGAATAAAATACGATATGTGATTTACAAATAAAAAAAATATCAAGTCTTGTTTACACGTATAAATTGCTTACTAAGATTGTTTGAATCAGTAATCAAGAGAAGCGAACAGCGGTGTGTGTTGTGTCGTATTTTTACGCGTTACGAGTAGTGTGAAATGATTAACACAGAAATAAAGTCAAATGTAAGTAAAACATTACATGTATTTCTAGGGATTTTTTTCTAAATAGAGGATATTGTTTTGATATATTTAACAGCTGGTCGTTATTTTTTTTATAATGTTGCTGATTGTTTTTCGTATTTGAGCTATCCTTTCAAAAAATTTAATCGTAAAAAATGTGTCTCAGAATAATCCTATATTAACAATATTAAATGGAGGCAAAGTTAAAATGATATAAATATAAAATTGCCGTGTTTCAGTTTATTATGATGATTGAATATACATTTTTCTTCAGATGGGTGTCAAACTGTATGCTATGAACTTCAGTCCACCGTCACGAGCTTGCATGATGGCCTGTGAGATCTTTGGTGTACCATTTGAGAAGATAGCGGTCAACCTATTTGAAAATAAACATCTAGCTCCGGAGTTTTTAGAGGTTTTTTTTATTATTTATTAAGGAATTTTTAAAAATGCTAGTTCAGAGGTCTAACCTTAACTAACGCACACATGTTGTTACACAAAAAGTGCTTAATTATTAATTATTTCTTTTATACAAATCATTGAAAGCCCGCTCCGATGTCGGTATATCCAAAAGACTGCACGGTTGGAGTGGTGGCTGGGCAACTGGCTGCCGCCCAAAGTGTCGCGACGAATTTTAAAAAAAATAAAAAATAATATATATATTATTTTATATATATATATATATATATATTTTAGCCAAAATACAGTTTTATGAGGCGAACCAAAGCTTTTGCCATTATTTAGTACTAACTTTTGCCCGCGACTCTGTTCGCGTGGTCTAGTGACTTCCTGCAGAGTTTTGGTATAAAACTATCCTATGTCCTTTCTCGAGTTCCAAATTATGTATATACCAAATTTCATAGAAATCGGTTCAGTAGTTTAGGCTTGAAGAAAAGACAGACAGACATCCGTATACTTGTTTACTGCATAGTGCCATATTTTCTTTATGTCACTCATAATAATCTTTTAAAATTATTTGGGCGATAAAAATAAAGTTATCCCATTATGTCCTATTTATAACGAATAGTTTACAATTTATTTTTTTGCGTTTTACAGAAAAACCCCCTCCACACTATTCCTGTATTAGAAGATGGGGATTTAATACTATACGATAGGTAAGTTCTCATTAATTTTTTTTCCCTGCTGGCCTGTTCATACGTTGTTAATCTACTAATGATGCATATTTATGAAATTTATTATTTACTTCCAGCCACGCAATAATGGCCTACCTAGCTGACACTTACGGAAAAGATGAGTCTTGGTATCCAAAAGACGTCAAAAAACGAGCGCTAGTTAACCAAAAACTATTCTTCAATACAGCTGTTATCTTTCGTAGATTACGAATCGTCTCAGTAAGTACCTATTCTTTGAGAAGCCGTGTCTGTTCCATTTTTAAACGATAACTAGATAGCCAACAGACCACCACAGACGCCCTATATAGGCCCTATATAGGGCTGATGTGGCACCGCAGCCTCGGCCCAAAACAGGAGAAAGAACGGGGGTGTTTTTAGTCAGTAAGAGTCTGACAATTCCCCTCGCCCAACCCTGGGCGGGAGAACACATTTGATGATTTTCCCTTACAAAAAAAAAACGATAGCTAGATAGATATATTATGTATCTATGTCTTTTTCGATTCCTCCAGCCGATTTTATGTTTGGAGGCATTCTCAATTTTCATATGGGGATGGTAACTGGTTTGTGAGAAAAAAGTATATAATTTATTTCAATAAGCCCACATTAGGTATAAAGTAGTTTTAAACAGCGAAAATAAAAAATATTTTAAAATAAATCGTAACAATCTGTCGGTTAGTTCTATAGTGTTTGTTAATGAACCCATTTATTTTTTCCAAAGCGAAAATTCGAATGATAATATTTTATCATTCGAATTTTTGCTTATTATTGTAACGAATAAAAGGAAAAATATATTATTTATTTTACAGTATTATGTAGTACAGAAAGGAAGAAAAAAGTTAGAACAAGACTGGTTGGATGACATTGCAGAAGCCTACAGTTTCCTGGAAGCGTTCTTGTCAAAAACAAAATATATAGCTGCAGATCACATTACAATTGCTGATATAGCTATTTTGAGCTTTCTTACCACTTTCGAGTACATTGTACCTGTTGACACTAAAAAGTAAGTAAATCTTTTAAATTTTGGAAAATCATTCCCAGGATTGGATGAGACGGAGTGTCGGACTTTACTGGTTTAAATCCATCTTTCTCTTTCTCCGAACCTGGCTGCACCGCTTACACCCGCAATCCCGGCTTCATATCAGCTCTAGGTGGACCCATCTCTGGTATTCTGATGGATTTTTGAGGCGTGTATCGCATGTTTGTGTGAACTGAACCTCATATGGAATGTAATTCCAAAACCTTATCAGTTATATGATATGTTAAAGAAAGTTACCTGTACTTTACATCTATACTAATACTATATAGAGGTAAAATTTGTAAGTTTTCATGTTTGTAAGGTTGTATGTAGAGGCTAATATTTGGAACCGCTGGTCGAATTGCCAAAATTCTTTCACTGATAGATAGCTACAATGTTCCATAGTGCTATAGGTTATACAACATCACGCTACGATTAAATGGAGCCGAGCAGCGACTGAAACCGCGCAAGGGTAGCTAGTTTGATATAAGTGCACAGGTGTTGTTTATATCTTATATTAAAATGTGTGCTTTTTGTGTATGATATTCAAGGTTATTTCTATCATTGTATCACCCGTAAAGGGGGACAGAAAACCATTATTTATTGAACTATAACGTATTCTTCCTCACCGTTTCCTGCTTAGTAGTGTATTTTATATTTGTGCTTTATATTGGTATTATACCAAATTCTCTGGGACCATATTCAGTAGTTATCAGTTATAATTACACCAATCAAAAGAAATAAATTGATTTTTACCACAAATTATTAATTTGACTATTTTTTTTTTCAGATATCCTAAAACGTCTACTTGGTTAGAAAATTTCAAAGTGTCGCCCTACGCTAAAAAGTATAATGAAAAAGGTGCTAAAATTCTGTATGGTTATATAAATAACTGTTTAACTTCCTAATTTATTATTTTCCTACCTTGATTATTTTATTTTTTGATTTAAGCGGCATTTAGCCACTTTTACGCCTGGTGGTAAGAAATAATTATGTGGTGTACGATGAAGCACGTTCAACCATAAGCAACCTATTCCATCTGGCCTTGAAGACACTCAGGTTATACTTTTGTGAAACTCGAACTCTGGTTAGGAACAGTAATTCTTTGTCAGTTCTACTAAAAAACTTTAGACAAAACGCTTCGCAACTGACCTTAATTTAATTTTAATCGCAGATTGAATTACCTTTGTAAATTCTGGATTAGTTTATTGATCAGAGTTATTGTTTGATGGATTTATGATTTGTATGTATGTATATCTGAGAATAAAAAAGTAATTATGTGTCTTTTCGTTTTTTTTTAGTGTTAAAAGATTTCCATCAACTATTACGATTATTACGATGTAATATCATTGAGATTTATAAATAATATTTGAAAAATTAAAACTCAGACTACCTAAGCTGAAAAATAAGCATGAGCGATTTTATCTATACTAGTACTAAAATCAGATGAGTTTAAGGGTCAATTCACACTGAGACGCGACGCGACGATACTCAAAGAAGCCAATGATTTCGCGCTGCGCCGCGCGTAGTCGCGAGGCGCAGCGGAACGTATCTACGAGCCGCGGGCGTAGCGCGGCGCGGCCCCGCCTGCCGTTTTTTTATATATGGCCGCAACACATTTAATAAGTTTTGAAACTTTTGGTAGTCCATTTTGTAATAATCATAAAACTTTTTTGGATAATTGGCAATGTGGTCAAAAGACAAAGTATGAAATTCACCATGAATTCTTCTATTTCTCCATAAATTATGCACCCAAATACTCCTGTGTGATGTCTTCTTTTTATTTTTATATTTATACTTCTTTTTATTTTTATACTTCCTCGACGCACCTGTGCGTTCTATACATTAATGTATTGAACGCACAGGTGCGTCGAGGGCACTGAATGTGTTAATTTTATTTTTGTTAACTTCTTCCTCTTCCTCTTCTTCAAGAAGTCCGAATGTAATAAGATCCCAGTCTATCATTATATTTTCAATCGAGCACTCGACCGAACTGCATCAATTCTAAACGAAGTCTGGACGGAAATAGTAGAGAAGTCGCCACGGCGGCCTCAGGCTGCGCCTCGCGGCGTCGAAGCACTGTTCTTGAACGCCGCGCGTACCGGCGATGCACCGCTGCGTCACGATACGTCGCGCTACGACGCAAGGCACCTCGAGGCGCAGTGCTGCGTGGTGCAACGTAATCTGAATTCTCACAATGTAATGTGTATCTTTTCGTGTAGTGAATAAAGTATATTCTGAGTCGCTCTATGATAAATGTGCGCGCAGCGTCGCGTCTCGGTGTGAACTGACCTTTACTGTCATCGGGCTTACTCCTTCAATGCCTAAATCTCCCAAACCCTTATCCCCAAAGGTCGGCATCGCACTTGCAACTCCTCCGTTATGGCAGGTGGCATAACATCAGGTTAACGGTCAGCAAAAAAAGCATAAAAAGGTAAATAGAGCGATTATATGTGTAATTACCTCGATAAAAAAATTAATCTTGTTCATATAAAATAATGGCACACTGACCTTGTCTGGATCAGTTATCAAGAGTAGCGAGCCGTAGTGTGTCGTGTTTTTGAGTATTGCATAATATTTACGCCGACAGCAATACAAATGTGAGTACTTAGTTTTAAGGCTCAGAGTGTTTTTTTTTTCGAAATAGGAGGATGTGTTAAATAAATAATAAATGCTTTTTTTTCTAAATCATAGTTTTTTAAACAAATTTGATTCTGTCGGTTGTCTTGTACGGTTTTTATTTATAGCTGTGATGTTTTTTGTAAAAATGATATATCGACGTACCTATATGTATAATAGGTACAATTCGATTAATCGTGACCACATAATATTTTAATTTTACAATATTGTTTAGTTTACTAATAAAATTCGATTTTATAAGTTTGTTTCGGTACATTTGACATAGCTTCTAAAATATTTGTTTATCCAGGTTCTAAAACACTGACAGACAAATGAATCAGGCGTGATTCGTGTATCATTTCATTATTATTTTGTCATTATGTATCAAAGAATAAGAGTGTCTGTTTTTTACAATTATTAATGAAGTGCATATTTTCCTGCAGATGGGTGTCAAACTGTACGTTATGGACTATAGTCCCCCGTCACGAGCTTGCATGATGGCTTGTGAGATCTTTGGAGTACCATTCGAGAAGATACCAGTCAATCTATTTAAAGGTGACCATCTAACTCCGGAGTATTTAGAGGTAAACAAAACATTGAATGCTAACTTTGATATTTTTATAACAAAATGTTTGGTTTTTTCAAAGTAGTTATTTTGCATGCAATGTCGTATACTAAAGGCTTAGATTATCAAGAACAAAATTTACCTAGAATATTGATATCTATAGTTAATATTATAAAGAGATGTTTGTATGTAGGGGATAATAGAAAGATAAGGATGATAGAAAGGAATGTAGATTCACGAGCATCGTTTAAAAAAATACAAAAGTTGAAATAATAATAAAAATTGGTATTTATATGTACATGTAAGTAATTATTTTACAGAAAAATCCCCTCCACACAATTCCTGTATTAGAAGACGGTGATTTCATATTATATGATAGGTAAGTTTGCTTATATTTTACCTACTTTTAAATATGTTGTGCCTGCGCCTCCCGTTAACTGTCGCGTGATTGCATTGCAACCATTGCAATGTATGAGTGCTCGTAGCGTTTCTCGCACGCCTCAAAGAGCCAATAGACCACCACAGACGGGCCCTTGTTCAGCTGGGGTAACTGGGTAAGCACAATGTGACACAACGGCCTCGGCCTAAAGCAGGAAAAGGAACGGAGGTTTTTAGTCTGTAAGAGTCTGACACTCTTTCTCGCCTTACCCTGATAGATATAGTAACAAGTAAATAAGAAAAACTATGTATGAGTAATCATAAATGAAGAACCCATTAGAAAAATATTTGAAAGAGTATTTTTATTGAGTTGTTCTTTTTTTTCAGCCACGCAATAATGGCCTACCTAGCTGACACTTACGGAAAAGATGAGTCTTGGTATCCAAAAGACGTCAAAAAGCGAGCGCTTGTTAACCAAAAGCTCTTCTTTAATACAGCTGTTATTTACCGTAGATTAAGAAACATCACAGTAAGTTATTTACTATTATTTTCATAGTTCTCAATTCAACAGCTTAAACTATGGACCAAACTTATGAATGACCTATGTATCTTAATATTATTACCTATGTATCTTTGAGTCTAAGTCTGGCATGATTGAAATAACGTTAAAGTGCTATCCTTGCATGCCAATACAGATTGCACAGGTACAGTTATCGGTTTGTATCCATATTGGTGCATGCCTTTATGGAACCAAAAGCTGTCAAGAAGGTAATAAATAAAATGTTATATGATGTCGATCCTGACCTGGAAGATTAGAAGGAACTCAATAGCTTTTTTATTTACATCTTTTTTACTGATGGACATATTTTTTGGTGGAAATGATCCCATGATAATTTCCACCATTAAAAAATAGTTTCTGTAAAAGTAAAATAAAATAATGTCTTTAATAACATAAAAACCTAACTATTATTTATTTTACAGTATTACGTATTCCAACAAGGAAAAAAGACTCTAGAACAAGACTGGTTGGATGACATTGCTGAAGGCTATAGTTTCCTGGAAGCATTCTTGTCGAAAACAAAATATATAGCTGGAGACAACATCACCATCGCTGATATAGCAATTTTGAGTCACCTGGCTTCCCTCGAATACATTCTCCCTATAGATGCTAAAAAGTAAGTAAAATGGGACTCATTTCTTCTTACGTTTTTATGGCAAAGGACGCAAAGAAGCAGATAAATGGTCCAATGGTAAGCAATCGGCTCTGCTCATGGAAACTCGTAACATTAAAGTAGTTACTACTCGTGCATCTCTATCTCTATCTCTATCTCTATCTCTATCTCTATCTCTATCTCTATCTCTATCTCTATCTCTATCTCTATCTCTATCTCTATCTCTATCTCTATCTCTATCTCTATCTCTATCTCTATCTCTATCTCTATCTCTATCTCTATCTCTATCTCTATCTCTATCTCTATCTCTATCTCTATCTCTATCTCTATCTCTATCTCTATCTCTATCTCTATCTCTATATCTATCTCTATCTCTATCTCTATCTCTATCTCTATCTCTATCTCTATCTCTATCTCTATCTCTATCTCTATCTCTATCTCTATCTCTATCTCTATCTCTATCAGGATCTATCTTTCATAGGGACTTTAGGATTTGAGGATTGGGATGGAACGGAAGTATTGGGCTTCAGCTAACCTTACTCACACGGATCACAACTTACGTTGTTTTTCGCCGTGTTGTTTTCACGACGTTTCTTAGCTTTCCCACACATGACACTCCTTTAATTAAGGTATCAGTTCCTTTTAAATTCAACAAATTCATTTACTGCTAATCTGTCTTGTCTCATCTTCCAGGATTAAAATGTTTTCTCTAAATCGTAAATGCCATTTTAACATTCAAGGTCATTTGTTTGTTCTGCAAAAGGGGACATAAATTGGTTCAGTGTCTAACTAAATCGTTGACTTCCTTATTGTTCAATAATAAAATAGAGTTCCCTTTATGTGCTTTGTACATATTACATTATATGAACGTAATAAGTAAGTGCATAATTACTGAATTACCCACATACCTGAAACCTATTCAGAAGATTAACCTAATAACCTGTAGGTTTGAATAAACTATTTATTTTGCAGGAATTAATTATCAATTTTATTGTTTCAGATATCCAAAAACCTCTGCCTGGTTAGAAGATTTCAAAGCAACGCCGTATGCTAAGAAACATAATGAAGAAGGTGCAAAGGCTCTGTACGATAATCTCAAAAAACATTTAACTTCCTAAAATTATTACCATTAAAGTAATTAAATTTAAGATAAAATCAAGTTTTCATACTTATTTGTGTAAAACCTTTTCTTATCTAAACTTATTCGAATCAAATAAATGTGGGAAAAAATTAATAAATAAAACGTTGGAATAATTTGTTTTATTTTCCATCATCATCCATTATTTCATTTAAGGGTCATTAGATGTATGCAGCGGACGATCGTCATGACAAATTATACCCTTGCAAATTAACCATTGTTGTACCTCAAGAACTATGACATCAGTCTTTTACTACTTTTGTTCTAAAAATATACGACCTGTCCAATGCTATAAACAGCTTGCTGATTTTAAAATAAGCCTTTTTAGGTTTCATAGTCAACTAAGAACCCTAAGTTTCGTGTAACGAACGTAATTGTTGTGTTTCATTACTCAGCTTGTGTTCTGTGAGGCCGTGGTTTTACTCCGGCTCATTTGCGCCAATGCATGGCTCTCCCACACTTCTATTTAAGACTCTTTTCTGCATTAAAGTGCAATTTTATATCACACATATTCGAGACTGTACTCAGAGTTTCACTTTATGCATAACTCGCCAACTGACAGAAACCACAATATTCGAATTATTTTATTGGCATCTTAACCTGAGCAATTGTTTTAGAAATAAATTATTAGGAATAGCTTAATATTTTTTTAACTATCTTAAAATTTCTTCGCTCGCTGCTTATGAATAAGAGTCCCGTTGTAACTTGAAACTAATCGTACTTAGCTAATAATTCTTTCACGTGAGAAAGATATAAATATAAATACATTTGGTTAGTTACTTAAATAATAATTAAATGTCCCTGATTGCAGCAGTATGTTTCCACAAAAGCCAGGAATTTTACTAGGACTCAGATCTTAGTATGCCATCATGCGGCAACACTAACACGCACGAGCACCGGGTTTAAAGCCGTATAGCGGTAGCAAACGTAAAAAAAGAAAGAACAATAATTTATTTAGTACCGAACACGCCGCACATAGCCACCAATGTGCAATAATGAAAAAAAAAACAACACAATAAAAATTCATAAATTAACAGAAAAAAAATGCATCAATGTTAAGTTGGGACCTATTATAAAACAAAAGATCACGCACAAAATATGAAAAAGTACTTACAACTAAAACAAAAACAAATAGGACAAGATAGCAACATGTCCATGCCAAAAGGGTTGCCATCTAAGTATAATATGAGTTGAGCTCAGTGAGAACCCAATACTGGTTTCAATCTATACTAATATTATTAAGAGGAATAATTTGTAGGGCGTAATCTTTGGAACCGCAGTCTTAGATGCCAATATTCTTTCTTCAATGATAAATAGCTACAATGATCCTCAGTGCTATATACTATACTAGATTAGCGTATTCAGACGAGCTGTCCCTTTAAACGCTTCTGTTTTTAAAATCCCGGTATACATTACTTTTATAGGCGTTTTTTTTGTGAGGGGAAAATCATCAAATGACTTCCCCCGCCCAGAGCCGGGCGGGAGGAAGTGTCAAACTCTTACTGACTAAAAACCCCCTGTTCCTTCTCCTGCTCTGGACCGAGGTCGCGGTGCCTCATTGCACTTACCCCGCAACCCCGGCTGAACATCAGCCCGTCTGTGGTGGTCTATTGGGACTTTTATAGGCGTGCCAAGCCGCGGGCGGAAGCTAGATTAATAATTATATTCTCAGTCTGCTGTTACATCACAGCTAATTTTCTTAAAAAAATAAGTCAAGTTCACACTACAAAGCAACAGATAACTCTGTATAGCAACTCCATGTTGGTCCAATGAACAGGCAAAACCAGAATTTTATGTAATTATGTATTTTACTGATAAAAAATCTGTCTATCTGCAATGACTAAGCAAATTATGTCTACTCGGTAATGGACTTTGTAAACAATGACTAAGTATTTGTTTTTTTCCGTTATTTATTTACATAACATAATTATTATCACACTTTTTAATTCTCAATGGGTTAGGCAGAGGTGCACATTTCAACAAGTTATTAATGAGGCACAAGTAAAAAGTCACAAACTGCAGAACTAAATAAGATTATTTTTATGTGATACTTCGGCAAACGAGTAAACAGATGGTAAACAATCGGCGATATCCATATACACCCGCAACACCAGAAGCGTAACGAGTGCGTTGTCAGCCTTTTGGGGATTATGATTTTGGAGATTATGGGGATTAGGAAGAGATGGGAGGAGGGCAAGGATTGGGCCTACAGTTACCTCGCTCACACGGCGAAACACATCGCTGTGATTGTTTCACGCCGGTTTTCTGTGAGGCCATAGTATCATACCAGTCGAGCCGACCCGTTCTTGCTGCAAAAATAATCCCAAATTAATACTTAACATTTTTTTCTTTTTGCTTTCGACAGTTTACTGTTGATGGCAAATCGTTCGCTAGCGTGACTCATATATTGTCCTCAAATCTTAATCATAGCAAGTTTTGGTGCAAGCGTACTACTGTTGGTATCGTGGCACCGGCCCACCAGGGCAAGATACTGAGCTATTTTTAGTTAGTAGTAGTAGTACAACAAACGGTTTCCGAAAGGCCGATCAATGTTAAAATCAATTTAATCTCTTGTCAAGTCATCTGATTGGTTGACTGAATTATCAACAACCAATCAGATGACTTGACAAGAGATTTAACAGGAGATTAGTTAATTTTAGCGTTGACAAGCCTTTCAGAAACTTGGTGTTAGTCTGTTCAGAGAACTCATTTTTAATAATTTTAGGCCAAATGGCCCAAAATAGCCTTCTACTCCGAACAAATTTGTATTGTAACTGAATTAAAAGTTCTGTATCCATAAAAATATCTAAACTTTTTTGTAGGACCCCATTAGACTTTTAGAATCATATTCTGTTTTGACTAGTCATTGTTATCATACAGATTTGAGCTATCTCTTTTATTAACATCCTTTCCGAAATCGTAACGCAGTAGCATGATAAGAGTAGATAAATATTTGGGCTGGTATATAAATAGAATACTTGCCTTGCCTTGACCAGTGATCAATTTAAACTTACTGAAGCGTGTTGCGTCTGTGTGTGACGTAATATTTATAAACATATAAAAGCGATAAACGTAAGTGATACTGTTTTTATTTAAAAAAAACTGCGGGACGACCACATTTGGTTTTTCTCCTGCGTCATGGGGTATGTGTGAACCTAGCAAATCATTGTCCAGCAGATCAAAAATAAAAGAGAGTTCTTTTCGTCATGGGTGCGTTTACAAACATACGATTTGACTGACCCGGGACATCGATTTGTAAAACACAAAGAGTTATTCCGTGCTGGAATCAAACCTGTGACACGTTCCGCGGCAGCCAGTTGCCCAGGCACCGTGTCAACCATGCAATCAATACCTTGTTTTCTTCAATTGTGCCTTTCTTGCCGTTGGGCCCCATCAGATGTGGTCTATTGGCTCGTTGAGTCGCGCGAGGAACGCTATGCGCCCACTGCAAACCCGTATTCATAGTGTTAATGGAGCCTACCATGTGTATATATACAAGATATTTAAAATTGCGGGTTTTATATCAAAATTGTATACAAGAATAGTGTAATTAATACAGTATTTTACAACAGAACTAGTTAAAACATCAGTTTTATTGTATACCTACTAGCGGCCCGCCCCTAATTCACATGAGTGTCCAACTACCTCGCTAATGTCGAACTTATTGTTCTTAGAACCTTTTTAGGACAATAACAATAAAATTACCAACACATTAGGCAGGTATTTTTTTCGTGGCATTATTTAAACTCTGGTTATTAACCAATACAAATGTGTGAATCACAAAATGAGTTGATAACCGCATAAGTCAACAACGCCTGGACTTATTGGGCTAATTCTTTTTTGTTGTGTTAGTTACCGTACCGCTAGGCGAAAGTTCTTCATATAATAGAAAAAAATAAGAACAGAAGGGAAAATTGGGGAAAAGCCACCATTTCGTCATTAGCGAGATAGTTTCATACCCGTGAAAAGCAGTTGCGACTACTAGTACATAAAAAATACAGTTTATCATTTTGTATTACTTACTCACGTGAATTAATTGAGAAAAGCTCTAATAGTGTCAAGTCTCCACGGGGCTTTTATTAAGCCAACAGTTCGCTGCGTGACGTTGCCGTGACTTGCACGCTTCTAATGAATAAGAGTCCCGTTGTGACATGAAACTAGTCGAGCTCTGTTTTCAGTTAATTTACGTGTGTAAGTCGTTATCTAATATTACAAAGAGGTAAAATTTGTAAGTTTGTAAGTTTGTATGTAGGGGGTAATCTTTGGAACCGCTAGTCGGATTGCCAAATTATTTCACTGATAGATAGCTACAATGTTCCTGAGTGATATAGGCTATAAAACATCACGCTACGATTAAATAGAGCCGAGCAGCGGGAACCGCGAACCGCGCGAGTGTAGCTAGTTTACAATAAATTTAGAATGTCTCACGATAGTTACTATTCTAAGTTTATATCTTTTTCTTCAGATGGTTGTGAAATTATACGTTATGGACTTCAGCCCACCAGTGCGGGCATGCTTGATGGCTTGCGAGATATTCAACGTTCCCTATGAAAGGATAGAACTCGACTTAGCTAAAGGTGAACATACAACTGAGGGATATTTAGAGGTAATTAAATATTAACTTTACTTCCCAAAAGCTAGCAATTCATTTACTATTCTTAAATGGGTATTAATCCATGAAGGCTTGCGTTGATCACTCATCATTATGTGAAGTGGTGCGTGTTTGCCACTCTATTCATTAAAGAGACGGGTGACGGCTTAACTCTCGTCCATAAAAAAAAACACGTATGTAATTCGGGGCGATTCTTACATATTGTTCCTTTTTTACAGAAAAATCCTCTCCACACAATACCAGTTATGGAAGATGGTGATTTGATACTACGTGATAGGTTTGTTTGATTTATATTTTAATACAATTTGTATTACTTTTTTACGGGGGAACCTCTAAAAAAGGCGTAATTTCTTGGGAAAAAGACTTGAGAGTTGGGGGTTTCTACCACATCAAATACACCAAGGCCTCCAACCTCAGTATCTGTAAAGGATACCAGCTCCCCTCATAGTCCTGCTCCGGAACCTCCATGTCGGGGCACAGAAGCCAGGGCCGTAAGTGCAAGCGCAAAGAAACTGGGCAATTTTAAATCACTAAATGTCTGACACTCCCTCTCACCACATTCAAGATAGGAGAAGTATATAAAATGTAATGGATGAAATAAACTAATTTCCTATTCATATTTCTGTCTTATTTCTAGTCACGCAATAATGGCATACTTATCTGACACCTACGCCAAAGATGACTCTTGGTATCCAAAAGACGTCAAGAAACGGGCACAAATTAATGAGAAACTATTCTTCAATGCGTTTGTTATTTTCAGTAGACTACGAGTCATTACTGTAAGTACCTATTATCTTGTTGAATAAGAATTTAAAACTAACTAATAATACTGCTTTTATCGTATCGGCATTAAAGCTTCCTTATACTTTAACAGTCTCTTCGAAGAACCACATTCACAGGATCTTTAAACTCACAAATCGCTCAGATTACCAGAGTGAAAAGTAGCCTACGCGTTGTTTAAGACTATTCTCTCTTTGTGTCAATTTTCATCTATATGGATAGTAGGTAGTTTCATAATATTAACGTTATCAACACATTTATTTTTTTTCAGTATTACGTCATTCAAAAAGGATACAAGAAATTTGAACAAGAATGGTTGGATCGCATTGTGGAAGCGTACAGTTTCATAGAAGCATTTTTGTCCAAAACTAAATACATCGCCGGAGATGACATCTCGATTGCTGACATAGCGCTTTTGAGTAATGTGTCCTCTTTAGAAAATGTACAGCCAATAGATATTGAAAAGTAAGTTAACCATCCCGTTAACGTCCATTTTCGCGCTGCGCTGCTTTTTACTTTAATTATGAGTTCTTGGTGTAGCTTGAAACTAGTCTAATAAGTGAGCGAACCAAAAAAAAATGAAAAAATAAAAAAAACATACACTATTTGTGTATCCTTTTTTTAATTATAAAGTTAAATAAAAACTGAAAAACATATTTAACATGAATCTATATTGCAAACCGATTCGGTTGTATACATTTGAGTTTGATGTTACGTTGTTTATAACATAAAATATCTTAAATTAAGGGCGAAAAGAAAAAATAAAAATAAAAAGTAATCTCTTATTTCAGGTCAGCGCTGGCCTCTACATACAGATGCTGTCTAAATTATTTTAATTGTTTATTTATCAATCATTTTATTTTATTTTTTACAGATTTCCCAAAACCATCGCCTGGTTGAAAGAATTAAAAGCGACGCCATTTTGTAAAAATAACAATGAAAAAGGTGTCAAAGAACTGGACGAATTTATTAAAAGCTGTATAGAATAAAATGTATTTTTCCTATTATAAGTTTGGTTTATATCTGTAATGTTACTATTATATTAAAAAGCTTTTATAATACACACATTTATGATTAAACAATTTTTTTTATACATTTTTTAATTGACATGAACCATAATGTGGCAGGTTTAGTGATTAATTTATATAAGTAGTGTTGTTTTTTTATTTATTAAAATATGTGAAATACTCCTTTGTTTTACTAATATCTATCACCAGCTTGTAAAACACGACTTCAGTTGCGTGGTATGTTGATAAAAAGCAGCATATACATATATGAGTAAATCCAAGGCATCACCTAAGTATCTACATACCAAATAGGTCCAGCCGTTTTTGCCTGAAAGTGGAACAAAAAAACCATGGCATTATTTATGATATTGGTAGAAAAACCTGCATCGCAAAACTTAATTAGCTAGGTATATTTCCAACACGTGATTATTCAAAAACGGTAGTAACAAAATTGACAAAAATGGCGATATCGCTAATGACATCAAACTGATAAAATTAAATCAAGGTGATTCGAATGACACCTTCGTGTTGGTCCAGTGATAAAATAATGAGTGTTTTACATAACAATATTATGTTTTTTATATCAATCAAGAATGTATTATATTAATCATTAAGACAATCAGTACGAAGTTCGTCTTTAAAAAAGGAAGGGGTAAAAGTGAACAAAATATTATGCAATATACTACGTATATCTCCCGATACATAGTAGAATGTAATACACTAATAAAAACAGAAATATATTAACTTTTTCCATGGACGTAAAACGGAGTTGCTTTAGAATATGCAGAGATATTATTAGATAGTAACATGAATAGCCAAACTAAAGGGACAATGGAAGTAGATTGTAAATACATATGCTTCGGGGCGCAATAATTTCAAGGAGTTGAGATATTTGTACGATTGGACGAAATCAGCCAAAAATAGAACTTGCCTAGGTACAGTAAAAAGGTTGAAAAAAGATTGAGAAACTAATTTTAACTTACAAATGTACTTGATATTCTCCCGCCCACGGTGGGGGCAGGAGGAAGTTTCAGACTCTTACTGTCTAAAACGCCCCCGTTCCTTCGCCTGCTGCAGGCCGAAGCCGCGGTGCCTTATTGCGCTTGCCTTGCAACACCGACTGACTAGATATTCCCCTTAATTCTGTACTGTAGTCATTATTATACTCAATTGGCATGATAGTTTATTTTTTATACTCGTTCTTATAAATCAATTTAAAACATTAGACATATAATTATTTATCTTTTCTTATAGAACCAAATACTTTTGACGCTTAAACATATTTTTGATTTGAAATATCGCGTGACTTTATGGCTTAGTACACTTTATTGAAAGCGATGACTACTACAGAACTAAAATACATTTATATCTAATTGCTGTTTTCTGACTGAATGGTTTGTGCGATTGCTGAGCAACTGGCTACGGCGCAACGTTTTCAATTCTGGGTTTAATTTCGCACGGAACAACTCATTGTTTGGTCCACATATTGTTGTTACGGGTCTGGGTGAGGTGTGCATGTGAAATTGTATGTTTGTAAACGCACCCACGACATAGAAGAAAAGTCATCCTATACATATAACTAGTGTAGGGCAACGTTTTAAAAGAGAAAAAAGATGTAAGTACCTACAACTTTTTTAAGCTCTCCACATAAGACAAGATAAATAAGCAAGCGTTTAATGTTTCCAGATAACCAAAGGAATATTTTTTTTTCAAATTCTGTGTTCCAAAATCAAATTCATCAAAATTGGTTTGTCCTTGTTCCGACATGGTTAAAGTCCACACACAACACGGCAGTTACAAGATTACCGAAATTATTTCAATGTATGTATGTAAGTATATAAATAGCACTGTGACCTTGTTTTGGTCAGTCATCGAGTGAGACGTACGAACGTGTGCCGTGTTTTGTGTTATTATATAAACACTGTTTAATCAAAAACAAATACAATCGTAAGTGTTTTTAACGATCCTGTTATGTATAGTACCTTATTTTTTATGTTTAATATTTTTGCTAGTTCTTTTTTTAATAGATAGGGTTTTAAACGATTGAAAATACTTTGTCGATGAAAAAAACTCTAGTCTACGATTGTTTAGGTGTGTTCAGTATGGTTGTTTTTGTTCGATAGCGTTATTTCGTTCGTACACGTTTACAAACATAAAACAATCAAGGTCACCTATTTATTTCAATCGCTATTTTAACCTCCGTCTGCCGGTATATGAAACACAACAGAAAATACATTGTATGTCGCATATATAACTTCGTTCCGGCATACCATGGGTTAATGAATGATTTATAGCTTGATGGGGGTCCAAAACCTGACAAGTACCAATCTAACTTTTTCCGAGTTATATGTACTTTCTATGATTATATAGGTATAGACACCACTGACATACGGTGAAAGAAAACATCGTGAAAAAACCTGGACTTATAATTTCTAATTATATGTTTGAAATCGCCTTAAGCATTGAGCAAGCGTGGTGATTAATGCTCAAACCTTCTCCGTGTGAAAAGAGGTTTTACTCAGCAGTGGGCACTAATAGGCTGATGATGATGCTTCTCCTTCCTTGGGTGGAGCGAAAGGGAGTGTCAGACTCCTATAATAATTATTATTACTAACTAAAAACCATCCTGTGCCGTCTCATGTTCTAAGCCAACGATACATTATTTCACTTGATTTTTTTGAATGGTTGACCACCTCATTGGTCAGTTGCTAGTTGCTTGTTGCCAATACAATTATTGAATAAGGGATTCATAATCATAGTCTGTTTTTTAATAAAAACCTTTTTGAATTCAGATGGGTGTAAAACTGTACGCTGCAGACTTCAGCCCACCGGTGCGTTCAAGTATGATGGCTCTTGATATCTTCAATGTACCATATGAGAAGATTACACTCGACCTTTTGAAAATGGAACATCATAACCCAGAATATATACAGGTAAATGTAATTCGAAATGTCAAAAATTATATTATAACTTTTCAATCGTGGTAATTCGAGACACAATCTCCCTCTCTAGCGTTTGCTTGGGGTTAGATGAATTTATATTTTTTTTTTGGGTCAAATGATTATATTTAAAGAAGACTAAAACTAATTACTTATGAACAAATCAACTTCTGGATATGACATAATAATAATACCGTTATTATAATATTGAATGAGTATTTGAAATATTTAAAACAGTTTCGACCGAGTCATCGTCTCACGAATAACCATTATAGGGTACATGATTAGACTTTTACAGTTTTATCATCCTATCTACAATGTGCATGTATAGTGTATATACCTATATTTGTAAAAAAAGCATGGGAGTGTGACGCTTCGGCACGAATAGGTTGGCTCGACCGGAGATATACCACGGCCTCACAGAAAAAGGCATGAAACAACCATAGCGTTATGTTACGCCGTGTGAAGTTACGAGCCCAATCTTTCCGTTCCTTCCCATTACTTCTTCTTCTTCCTATTACTTCCTAATTTCCAAATCTCTAAAACAATAATCCCAAAAAAGTCAACAATGCACTTGCAACTCCTTTGGTGTTGCGGGTATCCATGGGTAGCTCCAATTGCTTACTATTAGGGAAAATGTCTATTCATTGACTAAATTGCATGTTCTATATCATAAAAAATATTTATTTTTTACAGAAAAACCCGCTTCACACTATCCCTGTCTTGGAAGATGGGGATTTGATATTACATGACAGGTTGGTTTGTTAAATATCTGCCTTAATAAGAGAGTAATAGATGTGACTTCTGCATTAGAACGGTCTTTAAACATCATCAACATACACAAATAACAAAAACGTGTTGGAATTATTATCATAATGTACCTTGTACCCTTTAGTAAGTTTAGCCTAAAGTGAAAAAAATGACTTGTAGACAACTCAAAAATGTTTAAGCCAAGACGATTTTAAGTAATATAATTATAATATATTTTATTTATTTATTAACTGAATGGTACAATAACATTGTTAACATATTGGTAATTTTAAATATTACCAATTTGTTAAGATCTCAAAAGAGCTATTAAAATTTAACTATTATAGAATTTTACGACTAACATATTCTTCTTTATTTTGCAGTCACGCAATTATGGCCTACCTCGCAGACACATATGGAAAGGATGAATCTTGGTATCCTAAAGACATCAAAAAACGAGCGCTTGTCAACCAAAAACTATTTTTTACCACAGGCGTCATATTCCCTAGATTACGGATCATCACAGTAAGAATAAATTCGATATATTTTTAACTAATATCAATAAAATTTGATACTTGAAATATCAAAAGAAAACATCTAATTAGTTCTAAATGATAGGCAAGTTACTTGATATATGTTTAATACTAACTTTTGCCCGCAACTCCGTTCGCGTGGAGTAGTGACTTCCTGCAGATTTTTTGTATAAAAACTATTCTATGTCCTTTCTCGAGTTCCAAACTATTTTCGTACGATATTTCACAGAAATCTGTTCAGTAGTTTAGGCGTTAAGAAAAGACAGACAGACAGACAGACAAAGTTACTTTCGCATTTATAATATTAGTTTGGATTTATTTTATATTTATTTGTTTATTTTGCTTTGATATTTGTCTTATAGTTACCGAAAAATTAGATGGTATCTAGATATGTCCCAAATACAAATACATTTATTTCAACAATTTTTTTTCCCTGTAATTGGTTACTGGAGTCTTCTTTTAAGCATGCTTATACGCGAATGTCAGGAGGCACCGCCCTTCCTTCAGTAATATTTATCTTGTGTAAAAAAGACTCATAATGTTTACCAATGAACTGAAGTTGATGATGACCCTTAAGACATACCAAAACATAGCCAACAATAACTAAAATTATGATATCTTCCACAGTACTATTTACTTCAAAAAGGAAGAAAATCCTTAGAACAAGAATGGTTGGATAACATCGAAGAAGCAATCGGTTTTGTGGAACAATTCTTATCGCGGACTAAATTCATCGCCTTGGATCATGTCACCATCGCTGATGTGACATTACTAAGTCATCTGACCTCTGTTGAACCAATTCTACCTATTGACGCTAAAAAGTAAGTTAAAATTAAGTTTGTTATGGGTTTAGTTACAGTAATCTAGTGTTACTAATGGCTGTGAAAGAAAGACTGCACGGTTGGCGTGGTGGGTGGGCAACTGGCTGCCACGCAACATGTCGCAGGTTCTATTCCCGCACAGAACAACTCTTTCTACGATCCACAAATTTGTTGTTCCGGGTCTGGGTGTGGTGTGTATGTGAAATTGTGTGTTTGTAAAACGCACCCACGACACAGGAGAAAATCCTAGTGTAAGGCAACGTTTTATAAAAAAAAATACGTTACTTTACGTCAAGAGATTTATCATCTGTATTTTCATTGTGAGCTAAACTCTATTTATATCTTATTCGGATTATATATAACTAAAACCATATAGTATAAAATAATTAACTTTTTTATATCAATAAATAACTGTATTGTGTGTTACCGTTTCACGCTATCCCCGATCCCCAAATCCCCTATTTATAAATCCCTAATACTCCAAAGAAGGCAACGCCCATATGTATATAACTTCTGAGATATTACGTGGTCATATCCATAAGCGACGCCGATTGCTTACCATCAGATAATCCGTCGGCTTGTTTCCCGACCTATCCCACAAAAAATAATTTATCAATCGAAAAAAATAAAAATGATATTGTTTTATTTTTCAGATATCCCAAAACGGTGGCCTGGTTAGAATTGATGAAAGCGACGCCATATTGTAAGAAATATAACGAAGAAGGTGTTAAATCTTTAACCGCTATTATTAAGCACGCTATTGGTGAAAACTAAATAAATAAGGTTATTTTTTTTAAAGTATTATTGTTGTAAATTTTAGTATTCTAATGTATGATGAAATAAATATTAAAAGATTTAATGCTCGCATTTATTAAAATTGTTGTTTTACTTTATTAACAGCGACCCGCCTCGATTTACTACGAATACGAAATATTTTTTTTATTTTTGTAGGTAAAACCTATAGTAATTTTCTATAAGAGATGATGACTTCATGACTTATTGAATTAAATACTTTTTTGAAAGGTCAAAAACGATACAATTCTTAGAATTCTTATAAGATTACTAAACAGTTACATAAGCCCATATTTTCTTGCTTCAAATATAATACTTACCTATTTGATTTGCTCTTCAATTGTTTTGGCAAGAAAATATACATAGGTAGGTATGTAGGATTGATAAAGATATGAATATGAATATAAAACTTAATAATCCTTCTTGAATAAGACACAAAGACCTGGCATTGATACTGGTATAAAAAAAAATTAAGTAAAAAATAATAAATTCAAGTGCAATTTACACACAACATTACTTACCCTTCAATATTTGTTTTTGTTATTATTTAAATAAACATTACTTGATAAAATTGTCTTACAAATAAGCGATACAAAAGATGAATAGAAATCTTTCAGTAATAAAAACTATTTTAAAGCAAAACAGAATATAAATATAATATCTAGGCTACATTTGACAGCATGGAAACTACCGTATAGGATGAATGATTATTTAAACTGTGTGCGGTGTGGTACGCATAAAAACTTATATTTTGTATCTACGGACTGATAAGAAAAACTGAGTGTGTCCAATGATTAAGCAAAGCATTACATAAACATACTGATACGGTTTGTCAAGTCATCATACCCACCGAAGGCCGGATTTACACGCTCACGGAGCGTTGTGCGTGTAGTTGAGTTCATCGTACATTGGCGCAGCAGGCCACGTCATCATCTGCTTAAATACAAACAATATGAGCAATGTATGGCGGACCGCACGATGCGGTACAAAATGCGCGTATTCAGAAATGAGGCCTTAAATAAACATGTTAGATACCACAGTTGGGGTTACAAGGGCAATCATGTGTGGTTTGTAGTCAGAAAGACTCATACTGCCTCCCGCTCAACCCTGGGCGGGAGAAGTCATTTGAATACTTTCCCATAACAAAAAAGGACATACATGTTAGCCACCACAGTTGGGGTCCACAAGGGCCGATGTTCAACCAGGGTTACGGCTCTCAAAAAACGCATCAAAATAAGCATACATATGGATATAGGGACAGAGAAAGCAGCTTTATTTTAAACTGTATAATGATAGTGAAGTATGTTTTACAATGTCAACCTCTACTAAACTGCATGACAAGTTTTGAAGGTATGAAATAACAAGACTTCGCAAAAAAATAGGGCAAAACACCACTTACGTTGTGTTTCACAATGCCAAAGATGTTACCGGAGGCCTCAACCACCCCCTATCCCAAATCCAAAATCCCTAAATCTCCAAATCAAACATACTATTTACTATTTTATTTTGAGGTTATCTATGGACACGGACTGGTTCGATTGTCACCCCAGCATTTAAATAAAAAATACGAACCATCCGATATTCATAACACAAGAGTAACCATGGAGTTTCTTGCTCGTTCTTCTCCATCGGAATCTACACTTTGGAACGAGCAAATAGCTTCACTAAGAGGACTGACCCACAGACTGACACCATATCTTCAAAATTTTGTTTGACGTTCAAAATTGCCGGTATAGGTCTAATTGGAATAAATGATTTTTGACTTTTTTTTTAGTTTTTTGACAAAAATACCAAAAACTATAGGGTCAAACAAGCATCAAGGTACGTATGTACTAGCGACAATCCTAGTCAAAATATTATGATATCTCATGAAATTTAAAGTTGCATAACTTTTTTCTCGTAGGATATTAAAATAAAGATATCTTAGTGTGTCACATAATAGGTACAATAGTTATGTGATATTCTAGACCATAATATTTTCGATATCTATGCTGAACTTTGTCAAGACCCGTTCAGCTATTTGTTAAATATCAAACTCACTTTATTTCACATTTATAATTTGTAGGAAATAAACAAAATATATCGGGTTTCATTCATAGGTCGCCAGTAATAGTAAGAGTATTTTTGGTTATTAGTTTTCTTTGAATACTCATGTGCCCGTTGTTGTTTAAGATTCAAACAGGACAGCACGTCAATTCTATAAAATTTGTTTGATTTTGAATCGTGTTCGAGTGCAAAGTAAGCGTCGAAGTAAGGGGGAATCTAAATTTTAGAATGCCACTTTTAACGTCATCTCATACTTTATCTATCAAAATGTTGCTGTCAATTTAGTTCACTCGCAATTAGTGTAGCGCTAGTGTACTACTACTCACAGTGGATTCAGATTCGAAGTTTAGAATGAAGTCTTACAGAATCACACTGCAGGACTTGGACAGGACAAATCAAATCCTCATAATTACAATGGCAGACAGTCCATAACTGTGTTATTCGAGAACTTTATCACTTAATTATTTTCGGAAAAAATTGGTCAACTTACCCTAAAATAGAGTATAGTAAAAGGTGGCTACGAATTTTTAACTTATTCGATGTTCTGAACGTTTATAGATGACTATTATCGTTTACCATAAGGCGATCTGTGAACACATCATGTATACTCGTTTTTCTATAACATATTCATTACTAGCTACTCTAACGCGGTTTCATCGGCTGCTCGGCTCCGTTTGATCGTAGCGTGATGTTTTATAGTCTAGTATATATATAATATACTCAGGAACATTGTAGCTATCTATCAGTGAAAGAATTTTGGCAATACGACCAGTGGTTCCAAAGATTACCCCCTACATACAAACTTACAAATTTTACCTCTTTGTAATAGATAACGTGACATTAGGACTACTTCTGGTACAAGTCTCATGTACCTAATAGAAAAACATACTTTTTATTTTATAATAACTTCGCTAATGCATAAATACATACATTATGCATGACAGTCGAAACAAACAACATAGGAGGTACCTACACCTTTTCCTGTTACCAAGTTCCTTTTTAGCAATTCATGCTTACAATTTTCGTCGCGTGATGTCATTTCCATCTTTAGGCTATCTTCAAATTATTTGATAATAATAACAGACTATGTTCATATCTGCTCCGGTGAGGTATTGTCCTAAACGTACGCGAGTGCGCGAGTGAATGAGTTTGTATCGGCCGCACACGGTTCGCGCGGTGATTAAAATTATGTGGTGTGTGTTTTGAAAGAAAATATGATGACAATTGTGACTTATGTTAATTCAACATGTTTCCAACCACCTTAATGGCGCATTGCTGGTCTCCCGTAAATCGTAAGTATATATAAAAAAAATAAAGAACATAGTAAATAAATCAATTTAGTTTGTCACAATTTTTTTACACATACTACATGTGTCAAATTATTTTTTATTTTGTCATAATTTTTATTATGCGTCACAATCATAAAGATAAATACCTAGTCTTTGCACCTTTGCTGCAGTAACAACTTGAAGAATGTGCAAAAAATGGTATAGCGTTATGTTACTGCATAATTTTTTTAAGCTGTGCCCCACTGGGCCTAATTACATATGGAGTGCTAATAAAGAATTTGAATTAGAATTAATTGCTAAATCTTATTTTTTGGTAAAATTTCATTAAATTACCCTTTTTAAGACGCTTCCTTTGCTGTTAGTCCGGGAGAGCCTCTCAGGTGACTCAGTTTTTTTTTCGGTTAGGGGATAATTATCAAATAATTCTGCCCATAGTCTCAGACTCTTGTTGACTAAATCACCCCGTTCCCTCTCCTGCTCTGGGCTGCGGTACCTTATTGCGCTTGCCCCGCAACTTCGGCTAAACATCAGCCCTACAGGGCCCTATCTGTGGTGGTCTATTGGCTCTCGCAGAACAGGTCTGGTTCTGGTCGGGCGACGAGTTATCCTTACTCGCCTTCCGCACCCCGCGCTTACGGTGGCCGAACATCGTATCGTGTGGAGGAGGATAGCTGCCTCACGTGGTCCGCCTCCTTACTTCACAGAAAGAGGAGACGGCGTCCCAGTTCCTCTCGCTCTACACCACCATGGCCTCCCTAAGGCCGGGCGCGAGAGGTCGCCTCCACCGATCACTTCCCTGAGAACACGGCGATGCTCAGCCCAAGCAGGGCACACTGCCACCGTATGCTTCACCGTGTCCTCTAGATGCTCCTCACAATGTCGACACTCGGGCGTTTCCTCTAGCCGGATCCAAAACATGAACCTGGAAGGCGGACAGATGACTCAGTTAGATGCGAGTAACACCCAACATATTTCTGAACCATTACATATTACATAATACTCACAATTATAATAATATCTGCATAATAAATACGTTAAATCCAGTGTTTCTACTTAACTTCACTAAGGATTTGCGAAGATAGTACAATTAGGAATCTGCCTTTTACGTTAGTCAACAAAAATATTACGATAATGATATCACGCAATGTTGACAATACAAAAACAAGATAACTGCTGAATAGGTACATGTGTTCATTTATAAATAGCATACCGGCATTGTCATGGTCAGTTTACGAACGAGACGGCTAGTCGTGTGTCGTATATTTTATATAAATTGTCTAATATTGAAATATAAATCTTCATAACTGTGAGTATTTTGTTAAAAATATTTTGTTATTATGGTATTATATTTCGTTTTAAAATCATGTACTTAGAGAACGTACTTATCAACGGCTGTAAAATTGTATAATTGTAGTCAATCTATGAATGGTAGCTGACCTTCGTCTCATCAAATAGTTTGTTTATTGCGTCTGTATGCTATCGTTGTAGTAAGGTTTTAATCTTAAAACTAGTCATGTTGATTTAATGTATTATCCAGTTTATATGGCATATGCTTTACATATTTACGAGTTGATATATGAACTGAATTTACGTTTATAAACACAGATTCTTTCGACACAATTTGTTACAGATAGCAAAGAATCATTACTGTTTTTTTTATACAAACGACCTTCGTATTTCATTTATTAAACTTATGTTTTAATAAAAACCTTATAAGCTGCCTATATTATTCTTTAGAAAGAAGAAAGAAAGAAAAAGTATTTATTCGCGTCTAGGATGCACATAAGACACGGAACAAACAAGTGTTACAACACAAAAAAAAACATTTTTCTGGGCAGCAATCTAATTGTAGAAGGTATGTACTACTCAACATATTAAAATGTTTGCATAAACGATTTACAGATGGGTGTAAAACTGTACACTTTGGACATGAGCCCGCCGGTGCGCGCTTGCATGATGGCTTGTGAAGTCCTCAACGTACCATTTGAGAAGATAGAAGTAAACCTTCAGGCCGGAGAACATCTTACTCCAGAATTTTTGAAGGTAAGATAATTTGGAAAACATTTCAATGAAAAAAATCACCAGATCGTTAATCAACTGAAGTATTTCTTGATAATGTATGTAGCTACTACCAAAATTGTATAAATTCTGAGTATCGTTGTCAAAATCAAAATTTTATACCATTTAGATAGACCATAATATTTTATGGAATTTGTTATGCTCTTTTCTATAGGATGATATACCTACTTTGAAATGTCCAAACAGCTTTACTAGAAGAATAATTTATAGACTGGTACTATTTATTTGCTTTGGAAATCCATAGTACTGCATATTTAAGAGTCTTATTGAAAAATATTATATGTATTATATAATATTTGACTTAGAAAATGCAAATGGATAATTATGAAAATCCCATCTTCATAGGTGTCGAACGTTTGGGTAGTTAAAAATATATTGTTTTTTTTTCAGAAAAATCCTCTTCACACAGTCCCTGTTATGGAAGATGGCGACATTACATTGCACGACAGGTTGGTTAACTTTATTTTATTTTATACATACCAGAAATTACATAATGTAGGTACTTATAGTCATTCTGCCTACGGAATTGAAGGCAGATTCTCTCCTGTGCAAGATTAGTTACAATATGGAAACCAACTTATAACCAGTATACGTAGATATAACTGATGCTGCAAATGGCGACTAACAACTAAGCCCTGCGAAAAATCTGAGATAAAAACTAAATTCATTAACATAATGAAAGAACGATCTTATCGATTTTTTTTCAGCCACGCTATTATGGCCTACTTAGCTGACACCTACGGAAAGGACGACTCTTGGTACCCAAAAGATGTCAAGAAACGGGCATATGTAAACCAAAAACTGTTCTTTGACACTGGTGTCATTTTCCCTAGATTACGAAACATTACAGTAAGTATCGATCTCCTTAAACAACGTAATAGTATGCGTCTACAGATACATACAAATGAGTATATGTACAAGTAGTATATATATTATATACATGTATCTATAGTATGTTTATTATTATTTTGAGTACGTAAACTTCAAATGGGAGAGAACAAAATTAATAACGTCAAAAATATAAAAAAAACACCTAAATTGTATATCGTCTCGTTATTTTGAAAATACCTCAAACCTTCAAAAGGGTATATAGTGCTCTATTTGAAATAAATGATTTTATTTTGACTTTGATTTCAAGATGTTTTCGTGCCAACTCTGCCAATCTATGTACTTATAAAAGAATAATTTATTTTTACAGTACAACGTGGTCTTGAAAGGCAAGACGACCATCGAACCAGAATTGTTACAAGCTGTGGCAGAGGGCTATGAGTTCATGGAAGCATTCCTGTCTCGAACAAAGTACATCGCTGCAGACCATGTAACCATCGCTGATTTAGGAATATTGAGTGTTATGACGTCCCTGGAACAGATTCTTCCAGTGGATGCTACCAAGTAAGTAGAATTGTATTTTAATAAACTTACCTTAACAGAAATTTTCTATCCAAATTCGTTGACGTTACCTACTGGACGAATGGGCATATTTTCAACTGCTGAGTGAACAAACAGTGTCAAATTAAACGGTATGTTAAAATATTGCTAATATTTTAACTGATAATATCAACAGCGAGTTATAAAGCTAACCATGTTCAGGTTTGGGGTCTCTTAAGGAAGTAATCCAAATCCAATGCAAACTTAATATTATAAATGCGAAAGTAACTCTGTCTGCCTGTCTGTCTGTCTGTCTTTTCTTCACGCCTAAACTACTGAACTTATTTGTGTGAAATTTGGTACAGACATAGTTTGGAACTTGAGAAAGGACATAAGATAGATTTTTACTGAAGGAACTCCTATCCCACGCGGAAAAAGTCGCGGGCAAAATCTAGTCTAAAATAAGATGATCCGACCAATTACCAAAGATGTCCATTTATCCCAAATGATTTCAATGCTATAATAATGGGCCGTTCACATCAGTCTAAGTACCGATAACAATCAAGGTAGACAAGGTATTACATTAAGTACTTATTACAAGATAGTTTGGAAATTTTGTCAAACTCTAGTGGCCTACAGTTTAGTGGCTCGTGGCAGTTGGATGCGAAGAACTGACGATTCTACTGGATCTTTCTGTGCAACATTTCAGATATTTCACTGAACTCAGTGAACTTTTAAGCCATCATTAAGAGTTCATATTCATCATTAATGTACACTAAATTCGCTAAATCTCTCTTTCAGGTACCCAAAAACATCTGCTTGGTTAGAAAACTTGAAAGCGACATCATACTGTAAGAAATGGAACGAAGAAGGTGCCAATGCTTTAGGTGCCTTTATTAGGAGCAAAGTTAATTTTTAATGTATGAAATGACTTGTGTGATAAAAAAAATATAATTTAAATAATAAATAAATAATTTAAATTTATTACTTACATTGTTTTCTTTAATTTCACTTTTGCTTTTTGTAATGGAATAGATCGACAAACGAGAAGACCCGGGTGATGTTAAGCTATCGGCACCACTCGTTGACACCCGCAACATCGAGAAATGCCAATTGCGTTGCTGTTGCTGACCTACTGACAATATAAATGTGGAGTGAATACTGACTGAAAGGGAACGTATGAATGAGCAAGAAGGAATGTATGAACTAGTATGAAGAGTGAAGGAGAATGAATAAGAAGAGAGATTAACCCAAATTGATGTACTATATTGCTTATATTTTGCCACTAAATCCCACATAACTTTATGATTTGAGACATTTAGGGAGGGTGGTGAGAAAGATGATGAAGGAGAAGTGCTCAACAGTATTTTGTGCTGTCCTGATATTGCTCCGCCGGCACATATGTGGATATCCTAAACTTCTTATATACATGAGGGAAGAATTACAGGGGCCAAAGTTATTAGGGCGAAAGACTAGGATGTTTGGGAGTCTTTCCTCAGTAAAAACCACCCCGGGGTCCCTCATCACCACCTTCAAGGGGCATTGGGTTCTCTTATAGACCTACTCCAGAATGCAACACCTGTTACGGCACATAAGCACAAACATATTGCTATGGTTCACTTTTGTACACTTGTAGGCCATCAAAAATCGTTTTTTTTTTTTGCCTACCATTAAAATATAGAATATATATTTGAAAACCAACAAAGAACAAGAGATAATATTAATTCAAAATATTATAACCGATTCCCACTTAGGTGTAAACTTAGTAAATATTTCAACATCGTTAGATTTACACTAAACTTGTTTTCATCATTCATTATTATGCCCTCAAAATATCAAACTATAACTAAATTAACTAAATAAATTATAAAATAAATAAAATGAGAAAGTTTACAGTTATTCATTTCTATTTATTTATTTATTTATATATTCTTTATTTTACACAACATTAAAATTTAACACAAAGAGCAGGCTAACAACCACAGAGTGAACCATGGGCGGTCTTATCACGCACGGTGATTTCTTCCAGACAACCTTTCATTTCTCATTTTTCATTTCTAGTTACATAATCATCATTAGACCAATTAGGCATAGATCAGGTGACCGGTCTTACATGTTTTTTTTTTGTTTCACAAATGCCATAAGGCATTAAATGATTCTTCCCCCCTCTGGGTTAACAAGGATGTCATACTTATGCTGAATAAAAACCGTTCCATTCTTTTTCCTGCTGCAAACCAGGCAGAACATAAGAGGAACTTCTTTACTTATGGAGAAAGGAAAAAAATGGATAAGTGTTTAGTTGTTTAATTTCAAAATATAATAATAATTTTTTTACAATATAGTAACATAGATATCACATTTAATCGTGATAGATCTAAAATGTTCAGACATCTTCAAGCAACTCTGCTCTTAACAAGTGCAGCCAGCGCGTTTGCTCCTTCTTCGTTATATTTCTTACAATATGGCATCTCTTTCAAATGTTCTAACCAAACAGTTGTTTTTGGGTATCTGAAAATACAAAATAACTTTGAGTATAGCTGTGACTAATTCTATTATAATTGGGTAGTTTCCTAGGTCAAAAATAAATTAATTCGACGTTTCAATACAATAAAATATTGAAAAATAATTATACTTTTATTCATCGATCGATCGATACACCAAGTTTAAGATTTTTTAGCTAATTATTATGAAATAAGTAAGCTATTTGACGCAAAAATGTTATGACGTCATAGCTCAGTTTTTCATAGAAAAGTATCGTTTTTGACGTTTGGATAAAAGTATTGAATTTGACTAGTTGGAAACTACCGTATTATTTAGTTAAATAATTGTAATTTTTAATTTAAAGATTTTTTTCCTCAAAACGCTATGCTGTTGAGTAACGGAACTTCATTATCTAAACATAGTAATTAGCTATAGTTGGTGCATAGTGCTTGGCGCGGGCCTTAAAGAGTCTCTGGACCACCACAGACGGCACCTAACAGGGCTGATGTTTAGCCGAAGTTGCGTCGCAAGCGCAATAAGCAGGAGGAGTAGGAACGGGATGGTTTTTAATTCAGTACGAGTCTGACTCTCCCTGTCGCCTCACCCTGGACGAGAGAAGCCATTTGATGATTTAACGTCCTCAAAAAAAGCTATAATATTGTATTACTTACTTCTGGACATCAACTGGTAAAATCTGTGAGAGAGATGTCATAACAGATAAAATTGCTATATCAGCGATGGTGACATGGTCTGCTGCGATGTATTTTGAACGGGACAAAAATGCTTCAAGAAAACTGTACCCTTCTAAAGCATCATCCAATAATTCTTTTTCTATAGTCTTCTTTCCTGTCATCACTACTTGTCCCTGAAAAATAATAAATATAATTATTTTTAAAGGATTTTTGGAGCGTTATATTCTTATGTGTAGGAGAGCCATGCTGTGACACGTGAATTACGGGCATAGCGGTATGCTCCGCATTGTGGTTAAGGTTACCGGAGGCTCAATTCTTCTCCTCTCCACATTTCTTCCCAATCCCTAAATCCCTAAAATCCCCAAAACACTAATAACGCAAATGCAACTCGTCGGGCGTTCGAGGGCAAAGATGGCTTACCATGACTGATTACCTAAATCAGTCAGCTAGTTTGCCGACTTATTACATAATTAAAAAAATCTAAAATCTTACCTAAGATACTACAGACTATTCTTTTCAATTTACATACATAGGTAACAAATATTAGAATACTTACTGTAATTCTTCGTGCTCTAGGACAAATAATAACTGCGTCGAAGATAAGTTTTTGATTAACAAGCGCACGCTTTTTAATGTTTTTTGGATACCAAGAGTCGTCCTTCCCGCAGGTATCAGCTAGGTAGGGCAGTATTGCGTGGCTGGAAATAACACAAATAGAATGAGGAAACCTGCCACAGATTCAAAGATTCTGATTCAAAGCTAGTTCAACATTATTCTGAGTACAGACTTTTAATAATATGTACCTATTACAATTAAACAAACCTGTCATGTAATATTAAATCTCCATCCTCCATAACAGGAACTTGGTGAATGGGATTTTTCTGTAAAATAGGGAAATATCTTTATAATCACATCATCAGCCAATAAGTGGCCACTGCTGATCAAAAGCCTCTTCTCACACGAAGAAGGTTTGAGTATTGACTTCACTTCACTTCGATTGCTCAAGGCGGATTGGCGAATTTATTGAAATGAAATTATAAGTCCAGGCTTCCGATGTTTACCTTCTAGCTCCATGCACTACTATAAGTGGGCGTCTTAACTCCCGGACAACCACGACTTAATTATGTACCATCTTTATAACCGTTTACTGTTGTAAAATCGCAGTAGAAAACATCTAGGTAAGTTAAAACGAAGTACCACAAATTACCTTTAAAAATTCTGGAGTAAGATGTTCGCCGGCTTGAAGGTCGACAGGAATCTTCTCAAATGGTACGTTGAAGATATCACAAGCCATCATGCACGCGCGGACCGGCGGGCTCATATCGTAAGTGTATAGTTTAACAACCATCTGAAAATCAAACAAACGATAGTCCAAATAAGTTTTCACATGAGTAGATTATAGATCGAATTATAACAAATCTTAAATAAGTTGCTGAAATTATTTTGAAGAGTTTTGCTTAGAGCTATTGTATTCTTCTTGAGAGGTGTTTGTGTTTTAAATGAAGAATTTTTTACCCGACTACGGCAAAGCTTGTCAAAATGCTTCGGTAGGTATGTAACGTGCGACTACCTACTAGCCTTTCAGTATTCTGAAAATCTTGCTTTATCAATGTCGTTTTATTTTTGTTTTTCGTATTTAGAATTTAGTTTTTAAACTTTATATTATTGAAAAGAAGAATAAAATAACACTAGAGCAAGTCAAGAATCAAACTTAGTTATAACAGTATTATTTATAATTCTGAAAAAGCGTCCATTTTAGCCATATCTAAATAGAACATATCAAACGTGCCAAACGTCTATTCTAGTTTGACGACATTTTCTATAAATCTTTAAGCATTTATCGTGAAAATGTTGAAATATAAATAGAAAGAGAAAATGGTTTGCCTAAATGTAATTTTTTTATAAGACACTCACGTTTTTTGCTTTTTGTGATTTTTTTTATTATTAAGATGTTCTCCACTGCGGGTCTTGATACGGTATTGATCAGAATAAAAACTGTAGCAAGCTATTTAAATACAAATGAAGTAGGTACTTATTTGGCGTTTATCTCGTTGTGCAATACCAACACCAATTTGATTATTATCAGAAAATAAACACATTACCCTGATTGTTATTTCACATTACCCTATTTTAGTAAAACTCACAATTTTGAAAATGACCTGTTTATGTCAGATAAAAATGGAACGTAACGAAGGGGAAGTTATATGTTCTCTATATTATAACTTTTGCCCGAAGGTTCCATTCGTGTGGAATAGTGACTTTCAGCAGATTTTTGGTAAAAAACTATCGTATGTCCTTTCTCGAGTTCCAAACTAAGTATGTCTGTACCAAATTTCACAGAATTCGGTTCAGTGGTTTAGGCGTGAAGAAAAGACAGACAGGCAGACAAGCGTTACTTTTGCATTTATAATATTAAAATAATAGTTTGGATTAATATATTTATATGAATATATAATATTAGTACTAGCTTCCGCATGCGGCTTCGCCCGCGTGGTATGTTGATCAAAAGTAGCCTTTGTCCTATTCCGGAGTGTATGCTACGCTTGCGCCAAATTTCATCCAGATCCGTCCAGACGTTTTGACGTGATTGAGTAACAAACATCCAAACATTGTCACCTACCGTATTTGTAATATTTGTAGGATTTTGGGGAGAGGGGCATTTTGATGAGTAGGCTATCATCAGATTACTTCTCTCTATCTGGGTGGGGCGTGAGGGAGTGTCAGACTATTACTGACTGGAAACCACGTCGTTCCTTCTCCTGCTCCAGATCAGGGTCACGGCACATTACTTATGTGGGTTAAACTTTCCTTTATGGACCGTCGATTTTGGGGTCGAAATGGGGGGAGGGGGGAGGGGCAGGGAGAGGACTATCCCCCAGGCCCATTCCCACCCCGCGGAGCCCTATGGTAACGGAGATATCCATGGTCAAAGTTTTTTAAAATTTTGAGGTTAGGAAAGATTTTTTTGGATAGTTTGTATGTATGTATGTATAACTTTAGAATCGTACCGCAGTGGGGTGGATGCCCCCTTCCCCCAGTACCACTCCCATGACAAGGCAACTCACAGTTGCCGAGAAACACGATTTTTTATAACGTTACCTCAAAACACAAAAAGTCACTTAATAGGCAAAGTCGACGCGGGGCTCCTACTTCTGGGTGGTTTGCAACATGCAGCAGGCATGGCTTCTGTCACGGCTCCGGCGCTGCGGGGCTCCGGCGGTTCAACGCGAGCTGAAGAGCAGGTGGTTATAACGCACACCGCCGCGGCTGAGGCTTGATAGATTGCTTGCCGAAGCCGCGGCGATGGGCGTAAAACCATCTGCAACGTCAGCTTATGTGTCTTTCTTGACCCGCAACCCAGCTTTATCTCATATTCTACTAGCAGACACAGCCACGCGTTGCTGTGGCTAACGTAAATAATATTGTGACTAAAAATTGAGATGTAAGCTATCCCATCTTTCAAGTTGGATCAAAATGCACACCAGAATGCAAATCAAATTTAAAATCGATTAATAGTTTAGGAGTCCATCGCGGACAAACACGTGACATGAAATTCTTATATATATTCTATGAATCACTGGCGGTTCAATGGTGTTTCACATATGCATATAGAGGAGTTAATGATTACTTTTATATTCTTTATTATATCAGTTATTAATGTCGTCTGTTAGAGAGTTTTGCGTAAAGTATCCACCGTCATTTTTACCTATATTTTTTACTTATAATATTTAATACTTTTTTGTAGGTAGGTATGCACTAACAAAGTGCATTTCTTTCATGTATTTCCTCTCTCTAAGACTTTTCTTGTACAGATATAGCAAATAAATCAAAATTTTGTTTAGCGAAACAGCTCACTATTCGTATTTTAAATAACGACTTATTAACGTGTATTTAAGCGGAATGCTTATTCATGAGCAGCGTACGCGTAATATAGTGACTTGAAACTGGTAGAGCTTTCTTCAGTTAATTCAGGTGAGTAAGTCTGTGCTTTCATTAATTTAGTACCTACCTCTCAAGATAGCTAGGTACTAAAACAAAATTACCGTTTTTATAGATACGTTTTAAATATTCACATAACATAATTGTAATAAAAATGGATTAATCTCCGTAATTATTTATTTTAGGTATTACAATGTTACCTAAGATTAAAAAAGCACCTACTTGACGTCAAGATACAGATTTCATATATGTTATGCATTATTGCACAATATATAGAGGCAATAATCACATAGTCAACATCAATTTTTTTTTATCTTCAATATTGGACTGTCAGTTAGGCTGTCCGTCAGACGCACTCAGAGGGCTAAGTGTGGGAGAGTCGTGCTTATGGAGCAATGCCATGACCTTTCAGAAAACTCAAGTGACACAATGCTTGTGTTGTGTTTGATTGATACGATATAAATGAGGTCCCCGCCCACTTTCATCCACAACTCTGAATCCCGAATCTTCAAAACCCCAATAAGGCCAGTTACACACTTGTTGCGGGCCAATTGGCGGTAACAGACTGACATTTCCTACCGCCTCCCCCTGGGTGAGAAAAGTGATTTGATGACTTTTCCACTAAAAAACAAACTATTGAGAACGGTCTACTTTACGTCGTACTTACGGTATATTTTTTCTGTCATATGTCATATGTTTAATCAGGTTGCTTGATGTAATTACCTCTGTTATAAAAAAGTATCTATAGATTAATTTTTACTTTAACTTAAGTATGCAAAACATATTTTTTTATGTAACAATAATTAATTCATGATCCATTTCTAAACAGCTTAAACATCTACACTCGTACTCACAAACATAAACATACACATATACACTCGTACTCACAAATATAAACATACACATATAGTGTTTTTTTGTGAGGGGAAAATCATCAAATGACTTCTCCCGCCCAGGGCAGGGCGGGAGGGAGTGTCAAACTCTTACTGACTAAAAACCCTCCTGTTCCTTCTCCTGCTCTGGGCCGAGGTCGCGGTGCCTCATTGTGCTTACTCCGCAACCCCGGCTGAATACATTTAGTGTTGAGAATCAGTGTTTGCTGTAAAAAATATTGCTATTGGGTAAATTTTGAAATAACAGCAATGCTTGTCTCCAGCCAGCAACATTTATCACTCGCATCATAGTAATTCAGATAATAGCGAGGAAGTAAACGTAGTGATAAGGCGTACGTTAAGAAGAAAATATTGTACACAATCTATAGATTATTATTTATTTTTAAATACAGTTCCATTGATTAATGAATTGCACAATAATACATAATATGTGTGAAATTTGTATTTTGATAGCCTAAATAAACTATATTAAGTAACTAAATCTAACTAATATAATAAATGCAAAAGTAATTCTGTCTGTGCGTCTTTTCTTCACGCCTTAACTACTGAACCGATTTTTGTGAAATTTGGCACAGACATAGTTTGGATCTCGAGAAAGGACATAGGATAGTTTATAAACCAAAAATCTGCAAGAAATCACTATTCCACGCGAACAAAGTCACAAAACGCTAGTGATGACAAAAGCTAGTAAAAATAAATTAAAAAACCTTTGACAAAAACAAAACTGAGATCCATTTAAAAAATAAAAAAAATACGTCGAGTTGGGGGACCGTTCCAATTTTTTTACTATCTACAATTGTTTTACAACTACCAGTACAGTACAGGGTCTGAATTTGGAAATAAAACAAATTATTTTAGCGCGGAAAGTGAAATAATATAGCCGGGAGCCGGGGACGCTCGGCATATCGGGATAGGCAACGGCTTAAAAGAATGACGTGGCTGTTAGATAGTAAAATTCCATCACTCCCTCTTTCCCGCCCAGAGCAGGGATAGTAATATGATGAAATTCATCTTAAAAGATCATAGTATCATCAAATTACTTCCAAAGCCGATACATATTTTTACTCTGATCAAGATTCGTTGAAATCATTTGAAATAGCAAAAAAAAAACGAAAACTGTAAATGAGTGAAACCGCGGGTTTAGCTAATCTTACTAAACATGTTTATACCTGTTTCAATGTGCCTAATTCGTTTATTTATCGATAAAAAACAAATCGCTCCATGTTGGTATTACATAAAACCGATAACTGACAGATAAGTAATCGTATACAGCAGATAAATAGCTAAATATCGTCCCATATTGGTCAGTACGAAATCGAGAACGACTTGTGGCAGTCAGTTCCATTTTGGCATTACCACATTTAAAAAAATAACTGCAAACGTGAGTACTCTTTCCAACAACTTAACTACAATAGATACTTTACAATAATCATAAATATTACCTAAATGCTTTAAGAAATTATTTCATTTAGCCAAAGCATTTCTCATATGGAAACTGCCTACAGTTTCGGACAATTTATAACTTAAATACGTAACATGGTTCAATGATTTGTTCGTTGTCATAATTGGATTTCGTTATAATATTGAAAACTTGAAAATCTATCGCTGTGTTAACATGTTAAGATCAATCAATTGAATCGACAAATGTTAGTAAGCATACTTTGTGGGCCAGAATTTTTAACTGGGCAGACATATTGTATTTGTAAACATGTAGGTTATTAGGAAGACCATTTCGTTCAATTGGCAATTTTATTTTATTTCAGATGGTTGTGAAACTGTACACCTATAACATGAGCCCGTCAGTGCGTGCGTGCCTGATGGCTTGTGAGATCTTCAACGTGCCATTCGAAAAGATCCCTATCGACATTCAGGCTGGCGAACATCTTACACCGGAATTTTTAAAGGTAATGTATTTTTTTTATAGTAAACGTCGCCCCTCACCAGGATTTTCTCCTGTATCACGATACGATGTGTGTGAAATTGTATGTTTTCAAATCTATACTTGTCTTCTATAATAATTTTATAAAGCTGAAGAGTTTGTTTGCTTGATTGTTTGAACGCGCTAATCTCAGGAACTACTGGTTCAAATAGAAAAAATATTTTCAACAGGTTTGGAACTTTTTTCGTAAAGCAGAAGAATTTCTGTCCAATTCGAACATTACAAAACATAAAATACAATTTAAAGTTTTTCAAATGTGTTTCAATTTAAACAAATTTTCGTTTTCACAGAAAAACCCCATCCACCAGGTTCCTGTTATGGAAGACGGAGATTTAACATTACATGATAGGTTTGTTTTTATTTATTTATTAACCTGTCTTTTGATACTTAAGATCACATAATGCCTGCTTATAATTCACAACAAAGCTACTTTAATAAGAAAAACTAATATGGGGAAGCCAAAATAACTCATAAGTAACTGATTTTATTTTGCAGCCACGCCATACTTCCTTACCTAGCTGACACATACGGAAAAGACGACTCTTGGTATCCAAAGGACGTTAAGAAGCGGGCTTTAGTTAACCAGAAACTAATCTTCAACGCTGTAATTATGTTTGCTAGAGCAAGAAACATTACTGTAAGTATATCTAATAAAAGTATTAAATCATTTGTAACCAATTTAATATTTGGCTCGATGCCAATGACACTCGTAGTAGGTACAATAGTCTTAGTTAATCTTAGGCATACTAACTAAACTGACTTAGTGCTGATTTTTCAATAGTCAAACAAATGTTATCTGAGGAATAAAATTGTTGCTGACACTGTCTTACACAAACATTCTGACGCGACAGCATCATAATTATTCCCCGGATAACTTTTATATAACCGTAACACCAAAATCAACCCTTACAGTATAATAAATAGCAGGTATAAACCAAAGTTTTCTTGGTGTTCTGTATTGACTTCTATTATTTTCCAGGGACAAATAGTGTTGACACCAAAGAGATTCATCGAACAAGAACTGTTGGATGCTGTTATAGAAGGCTACGGCTTTATGGAAGCATTCTTGTCCCGAACAAAATACATCGCCGCAGACCACGTAACAATCGCCGATTTAGCAATTTTGGCTGTTATGACATCTCTCACCCAAATTGTACCCTTGGACGCTCAAAAGTAAGTCGAGTATTTTTACAAATTATTTTTTGATATCAATTTTTCTGTTCAAACATATATCATACAACAATCATATTTTAGGTCCGGTTTAACCACTTTTAAAATTGTATTTCACCGTTTGGGTGAATTTACCAGAATATCAAAAAAGAAATCCCTTATCAACGAACCAGTAGCTTTTGCTTTGAAACCCGTGCTGATTGCTCACTATAAGAACCATAGAGTGATGAATCTAGGCTACTTGCCTCCTATATCAAAACAAGAACACAGTTTCCAACATTAAATAAAGCTGACTAATTAATATGACTAGCTTTAAAAGTGGATCTTTCTCTTCCAGATACCCAAACACATCCGCTTGGTTGGCAAACTTGAAAACAGCACCATACTGCAAGAAGCATGATGAAGCAGGTGCCAATGAATTGGCGTCATATGTTAATAACAGAATTTGCATTCAATAAAAGTTGAGTTGGCAATAAATAGAAAAAAGTGATGTAACATGTATTTTGTGTGTATAATTAAGAATAATAAAATGATTAATAATTTAATGTAACTAATTTGTTTTAATTTTCTAAATTTAAAACTGTGAAATATATATACATACCTATTACTTAGGTAGGTTTCTTGCTCACTAGGATTCAAATGGATTAAAATTAAACACATAATTACTGTTACTTTTTATTAAACATATAAATTGTGTAGAAGAAATAAATACTTACATGTTACATTCTTTATAGTTACGAGATTACAATATCATTATCCCTAGTCTATAGGTATATGTGTCCAATGCTGAACAAAGGCCTCTTCCTAGAAGGAGAAGTTCTGACTTCAAACTTAAGATTAGAAATTATAAGTCTAGTTTTCCTAGTGATGTTTTCATCATCATTATCAGCCTATAAGTGCCCACTGCTGAGCAAAGGCCTCTTCTCATACGGAGAAGGTTAGAACATTAATCACCAGGCTTGCTCAGTGCGGGTTGGCGATTTCAAACTTATAATTAGAAATTATAAGTCCAGGTTTCCTCACGATGTTTACCTTCACCGTATGTCAGTGGTGTCTAAATAATCATAGAAAGTACATATGACTCGGAAAAAGTCACATTGGTACTTGCCAGGTTTCGAACCCACACCCTCAATGCATGAGATGCATCCTTAACCTCCGAGCCACCACGACATTTTTTCACGACGTAGTCAGGGGTGTCTAAATAATCATAGAAAGTACATCATCATCATCATCATCATCAGCCTATAAGTGCCCACTGCTGAGCAAAGGCCTCTTCTCACACGAAGAAGGTTTGAGCATTAATCACCACGCTTGCTCAATGCGGGTTGGCGATTTCAAACTTATAATTAGACATTATAAGTCTAGGTTTCCTCACGATGTTTACCTTCACCGTACGTCATTGGTGTCTAAATAATCATAGAAAGTACATATAACTCAGAAAAAGTCACAATGGTACTTGCCAGGTTTCGAACCCACACCCTCATGCATGAGAAGCGGGCGCCCGAACCCCGGGGCCACCACGACCACGACCACGACGACGACTGAGAAAGTACATAAAATTCGGAAAAGGCCATATTGCTTGTCAGGTTTTGAACCCCCCTTAAACCTCTGGGCTACCACGACATTTTGTTAATAGAGTATTACATCTTTAGTACAGTTTGACTTAACATTGTCACCTTACTAATACACTGGCGAATTTAAATATAAGTAAAGAGACTGACTTGATAAAGTATGTTCAAAAAAGGGACTTGAGGATCATATGCTTTGAGATTAATATACGCAAAAAAATGTTTTAATGAAATCACACCATATTCATGTGTATCTGATCATCATAATATCAATGAATTCTTGCTTCACTACATACATGTAATTATTTGGAAACTTAGCACATATACTAGAGTAAGTTTATATAAAGGCTCTTGTGCACAGAAACTATAACAGTTAGCTGCAGTTAACGGGTCATTGCAATGCTCGTAGACAGACCGTTTACAACATGTCACTCACATCGTAGTACTTCAGATAATTGGGAAGTATACTTAGGTATATCGTTAACAGCAAGTTCTTAGAACATAGTATAGTAAGTATGTAAAAAATATATGGTTTTTGTAAAAGTCAGATTATAACCTATTAATGATTAATCAGCGCTATTCATGGATACCTAAAATATCAGATAGGTTAGATCAGGTATTTGTAGTCAAGTAGTAACTTTTTGCCAGATATGAAGCAGGTAACGGGACTGGGTTTTTAGTCTTTAAGAGTCTGTCACTACCTCTCGCCTCACCTTGGGCAAAGACAAGTGAATTTTGATGATTTTACTCTCTTAAAAAAGTAGGTACTTTTTTATGTAATACATCGGCAAACGAGGAGACGGATTACCTGATGGTAAGTAATCAGCGCCGCCCAAAGACACCCGCAACGGAGGAGTTACGAGTGCGTTGCCGACCTTTTAGGGATTAGGGATTTGGAGATTTTGGGATTGAGGAGGGATTGGGGGTGGGAAAGGAATGGGCCTCCGGTAACCTCACTCACACGGCTTAACACAATGCTGTGGTTATTTCACGCCGGTTTTCTTTGAGGCCGTGGTATCACTCCGGTCGAGCCGACCCATTCGTGCCGAAACATGGCTCTCCTACACTTAGACTTAGACTTACTTTGTTTAGTAAAAACAATAACCATAAAAAGGTTTTTAACCCTATTGCAGCCCTAGGTGGCTATACACTAACAAAAACCGATTTTTGGGCTTCAATAAAATGTTAGTATAGGTATATTTAAAGTCAAAAGTATTGGTCAAAATACCCTCTGACTTAAGCTCACGCGTAGCAATTTTTCATTCATGCTTGATCCTAAATCCACAATTCAAACAACACCGTTGTACCTGGTCACGGCTTAACACGTTTTAATTTATTATACTGAAATTTGTTTTTTTTCCTCTGTAACACCTACTTGCTTTTAGTCATATAAATAGAACAGTTCTATTCCTTGTGTGTTGTCAATTTTTTTTTTGTATACGATAAAATATTTTTATAGCGAAGGGATGTTTAAGAGATTTTAGAGATGAGAAGTCTTATATTTTCACAAACAATAAATAAAAATGTCAAAGTATTATAAAAAAATAAGCTAGTAAATCCTATCAAAAGTTTTATTGTTGGGTAATAGATCTTTTGCCTCTTTTTCTTCTCGAGTACGTAGGTATTTAACAAATATGTGCGTGGGGCATGTCTATACTAGTAAAGACGTAAAATTTGTAAGTTTGTATCTAGGGGGGTAATCTTTGGAATCACTGGACGGATTTCCACAATTCTTTCACTGATAGATAGCTACAATGCTCCTGAGTGCTATGGGTTTTAAACCATCACGCTACGACTAAATGGATCCGTGCAGCGGGTGAAATCGCGCGAGAGCAGCTATATATATGATACTACTTTAATGAGGTTTAGATAAGGTTTATTAGATTCTTAACATTTGTTTTGTAAAAAACTTATGTATTTAGCTAATGTCTACGGAACTGAAGAATCACAAGGTATGATTTTCCATTTACTAACGTCATTCTATTTCCAAGATTTAAAATATAATCATTGCGTAAATCACTATTTATTGTGACACATAATAACAAACCTCATTGTGAAAGTTTCGTTGGTATTTTCGTTCATACAAATAACCTCTCCTCCGTTTGCCTTTTACGGTTTAAAAAAAAACGCAAAATTGTCAAAATATTAATACTACTCACTAATATTATTTACTCACTAATATTATTAAAGTTTACAAGGTATCGATGGATGTTTTTCAAAGTATTTATTTTAGGTGGGTGGATTGCTATTTGGTTAAGAGATAGTTTATACGTTCCCGAAAAAAAACAGACGAATCCGTCGGCAGATAACGGTGAAAAACCACAATGTAGATTTTTGACCCCTATCTGTTATAAAAAAATTCAAAGGACTCTGTGTTCCCTTTTTAAACCATCATAATATTTATACTCTACCTATATTTAACATCGTAATATTAGCTTAGAAACATTGCTAACGGCTCAGTGAGTACTAATAATCTGTCCCTAACTAAGGCAGCGCGTTTTGTTTATGTAGGCACTCGACCAAGGTTGATATTTTCAGCAAGGTTAATTGTATATTACTTTATGGTTTAAAGATTTGAATTTATAATATAATAAGACTAGCTAGCGCGCGGCTTCACCCGCTGCTCAGCTTCATATAATCGCAGCGTGATGTTTTATAGCCTATAGCACTTAGGAACATTGTAGCTACCTATCAATGAAAGAATTTTGGTAATACGGTCAGCGGTTCCAAAGATTACCCCCACATACAAACTTACAAATTTTACCTCTTTATAATATTAGTATAGATTATTTTATTCTTGAAAACAATATCTAATCATGATTAAATCTTATGTAGTGTCCCGGAGATTAAGGCGCCCTCTTCTCGTACCTCGACAAACCTGGCGAGTACCAATGCGACTTTTTCCGAGTTATTATTCTACCTCCTAAGATTTAGACACCACTGACATGCGTCGAAGGAAAACATCGTGATGAAACCTTAACTTATAATTTCTAATTATAAAATTGAAATCGACAATCCGCTTTGAACATGCGTTATGATTAATGTTCAAACCTACTCCGGATGAGAAGAGGCCTTTACTCCGTAGTGGGCACTTATACGCTGATAATAAGACAACGAACCTGGTTGTCCAATATTACTATCACATTAAATTACGTTGATCAGACGATCAGCATAATGTAAATTTCAAAATCCGGTTGAGACGCAATGCTGACCCTGACACAAGTAAATGATAAGATAGGTAATATTTATTTGATAAAAACGGCTACAGAAATGAAAAAGAAAAATGAGGTAGAAATATATCTAAATATTATTTTAGAAAGATCTTTTAGCTTTCTATAGAAGTTGAAAGAAGAAACGCATTGTTGATACAATCGATAGAAAGCACTTAAGAGGGATATCGTTTTATGGAGAAGCTCCTCAACGAAACGATTTATAATAC